ACGGGTAGGCCTAACATCACTGGACAGATTATAGAGACGGGTAGGCCTAACATCACTGGACAGATTATAGAGAGGGGTAGGCCTAACATCACTGGACAGATTATAGAGAGGGGTAGGCCTAACATCACTGGACAGATTATAGAGAGGGGTAGGCCTAACATCACTGGACATATTATAGAGAGGGGCAGGCCTCACATCACTGGACAGATTATAAAGAGGGGTAGGCCTAACATCACTGATTATAGAGAGGGGTAGGCCTAACATCACTGGACAGATTATAGAGAGGGGTAGGCCTAACATCACTGATTATAGAGAGGGGTAGGCCTAACATCACTGATTATAGAGAGGGGTAGGCCTAACATCACTGATTATAGAGAGGGGTAGGCCTAACATCACTGATTATAGAGAGGGGTAGGCCTAACATCACTGATTATAGAGAGGGGTAGGCCTAACATCACTGATTATAGAGAGGGGTAGGCCTAACATCACTGGACAGATTATAGAGAGGGGTAGGCCTAACATCACTGATTATAGAGAGGGGTCGGCCTAACATCACTGGACAAATTATAGAGAGGGGTAGGCCTAACATCACTGGACAGATTATAGAGACGGGTAGGCCTAACATCACTGGACAGATTATAGAGAGGGGTAGGCCTAACATCACAGATTATATAGAGGGGTAGGCCTAACATCACTTATTATAGAGAGGGGTAGGCCTAACATCAATGGACAGATTATAGAGAGGGGTAGGCCTAACATCACTGATTATAGAGAGGGGTAGGCCTAACATCACTGGACAGATTATAGAGAGGGGTAGGCCTAACATCACTGGACAGATTATAGAGAGGGGTAGGCCTAACATCACTGATTATAGAGAGGGGTAGGCCTAACATCACTGGACAGATTATAGAGAGGGGTAGACCTAACATCACTGATTATAGAGAGGGGTAGGCCTAACATCACTGATTATAGAGAGGGGTAGGCCTAACATCACTGATTATAGAGAGGGGTAGGCCTAACATCACTGATTATAGAGAGGGGTAGGCCTAACATCACTGGACAGATTATAGAGAGGGGTAGGCCTAACATCACTGATTATAGAGAGGGGTAGGCCTAACATCACTGATTATAGAGAGGGGTATGACTAACATCACTGGACAGATTATAGAGAGGGGTAGGCCTAACATCACAGATTATAGAGAGGGGTAGGCCTAACATCACTGGACAGATTATAGAGACGGGTAGGCCTAACATCACTGGACAGATTATAGAGACGGGTAGGCCTAACATCACTGGACAGATTATAGAGAGGGGTAGGCCTAACATCACTGGACAGATTATAGAGAGGGGTAGGCCTAACATCACTGGACAGATTATAGAGACGGGTAGGCCTAACATCACTGGACAGATTATAGAGAGGGGTAGGCCTAACATCACTGGACAGAATATAGAGAGGGGTAGGCCTAACATCACTGGACATATTATAGAGAGGGGTAGGCCTAACATCACTGGACAGATTATAAAGAGGGGTAGGCCTAACATCAATGGACAGATTATAGAGAGGGGTAGGCCTAACATCACTCGACATATTATAGAGAGGGGTAGGCCTAACATCACTGGACAGATTATAGAGAGGGGTAGGCCTAACATCACTGATTATAGAGAGGGGTAGGCCTAACATCACTCGACAGATTATAGAGAGGGGTAGGCCTAACATCACTGGACAGATTATAGAGAGGGGTAGGCCTAACATCACTGGACAGATTATAAAGAGGGGTAGGCCTAACATCACTGGACAGATTAGAGATCTCATAATTAGGGCCAGGAGATTTTCCCACTAACCTCTCACAGTCTCCCGTCAGAATTAGACGTTCATCCATGTTTCTCAAACGTCAAATTTCAAAGTTGTTCCAAACGTAAAATGTCAAAGTGTTTGGTTAATTCTCTGCACTAACTACAAATTCTTAAGGTTAGGCATTCTTAAAGGGAAGTTTCTAAATTATTCAACTTCAGCACCACCCCAACATCAACATGTGTGAAAATTTAATCTATGATTCGTAGTAAAAAAGATAGAGGAAGATGAGTGTTTCCAATGACATCAACCAAGTAGTAGACATACTAATACTGACTTGTATCACGGGTGACCTGCCTGGATTTTCCTGACCTTATGATCTGACCAACAAGAACAGTCTACAACTAGGGCCCAGAGTGTTTCACAAACAGTCTACAACTAGGGCCCAGAGTGTTTCAGTAACAGTCTACAACTAGGGCCCAGAGTGTTTCAGTAACAGTCTACAACTAGGGCCCAGAGTGTTTCAGTTACAGTCTACAACTAGGGCCCAGAGTGTTTCAGTAACAGTCTACAACTAGGGCCCAGAGTGTTTCAGTAACAGTTTACAACTAGGGCCCAGAGTGTTTCAGTTACAGTTTACAACTAGGGCCCAGAGTGTTTCAGTTACAGTCTACAACTAGGGCCCAGAGTGTTTCAGTTACAGTTTACAACTAGGGCCCAGAGTGTTTCAGTAACAGTCTACAACTAGGGCCCAGAGTGTTTCAGTAACAGTCTACAACTAGGGTCCAGAGTGTTTCAGTTACAGTCTACAACTAGGGCCCAGAGTGTTTCAGTTACAGTCTACAACTAGGGCCCAGAGTGTTTCAGTTACAGTCTACAACTAGGGCCCAGAGTGTTTCTGTTACAGTCTACAACTAGGGCCCATAGTGTTTCAGTTACAGTCTACAACTAGGGCCCAGAGTGTTTCAGTAATAGTCTACAACTAGGGCCCAGAGTGTTTCTAGGTCAAGACAGGTCACATGGTCAGGAAAAATTCCTGCCCTTATTTGTGATTCCACCTATATAAAAAAAGTACTTTTGTTTCGCATATGAATCATCAAATACTATTAGGTTTTTCTGGGTACCCATTTTGAGCAGTCCCCGTATTTTACAGTGAAATTGCGGTTTGATAAACTCTCCTCAACATAGGGCTAAGGCAAAGCGTAGCGTAGCGCCGTAGACCAAACAAACGTGGAGATGGAACAGGTGGTAAGAGTATTATCCAAAAAGAACTCGGAAACCAGATGGACACACGCCACCGAAAACAATCTCCTGCGATTCATGCGGCAGGACAGGGTAAACGAGGAAGAATAACAAATTACATAAAGTAAGTCAAATCGGGTAACTACTCAAATAAATGTCCGATAGGTTTAACTTTTTTAGTTTCTTTTTTTTTAGGGGGGTTGTGGAGGTGTAGGTTGTGATACTTCTGTTTTCCTTTGATTATGTGCCCCCTCCACCCCGAGAGACTCACTCACACAATAGAAAGTGCCTACCAGGCCTCAGACCTCACCGCACGTCACTGCAAACAGGGTGTATGTAATGGAGAAAAAAAGGTCGCAAGCAGCAAGGTTACATCAGGTCTGTTTGAACGAAGTCTGACTGACCAAGACCCAAATACTGATTGTTATGCTTAGGGAAACGGCGCCGTCCAATTTGAGCACCATAACTGTGAACGTACACTGAGCAGAGGCGACGGGTGATATACTTCTGAAATTCTCCTTCACCTTCTCACGAGTTGTGAACTAAATTTGACATATCATAAACCCTGTCCTTCCATAAATCTGAGGAACACCAGTGTTTGGGCTTTGCCTATAGAGCTCCTGTTTCTCCCAGAAACTCAGGCAGCCAACTCAAGGCTACTTTCTGGCCAACTCACCGTGCATTGCACCACTAGTCCGGGGACTTAGATACCCTTTTTTACTGCACTATTTTACTACCTAATTGGGCCCTCTCTTATTGACCACAGAGAAAATATCTCTGTGTTTAAACAGCTGTTAACTACAATTCGCTATCTCTGGAGTACCGTCAACACTTTGTGAAAAAGGGGGTCCCACCCAGACCCAGTTCTCTCCCAGTTGCCTCATTGAGTGATCCTTGCCAGTTCCCAAAACACTGAATTTGATCTTAAATATTTTTTATACTTTGCTGCAAATGAGCCACCGTTCCCACTCTGGTTAAATGTGTCAACTAAACTATAACCATAAATGAAACAATCCACCACTGGTGTTTGATCCTGGCTTGTCTAAAGTCTTACTGACACATGTTGTGATGAGTAACTGTGTGTTGGATAACCAAGCCCTTCATTGCCAGGTCAAAATGGGTCTTTCTGGCGCTATAGAGCACGGGACCCTATGACGTTCACAGAGTGCTTTGTACACCAAAATGTCAGTCGGAACCAGTCCAGAACCACTCAAACTCCTTCACATAGGGGACTTAACATCTAAGAGGTTGAATCTCCAAAAGCAATAACTCATTCTTCCCCTTTCCTTGAGGAAAATAGTATATTTATATTGGTTACTAAAGGCCCTAAAAATGTACTGTTACTGATACCTTTGTCTTGAGTAAAAAAAAAGAGACAGGACGGAGTTAAATGTCATTGTTTTACATAAAATAATATTTGGCAAACACCATAGGAGGCCTGCGTCCATCCAGTTGTTTGGCCATACAGGACGTTTATCTATCTATTTATTAATTATTTATTGACCTAAGTCACTAAGTTATGCCTATTGTTGCTGCCTGAAATGGTGAGCCATATGAAAACCACGTCTAGTTTATTAGCACCATATTAGGTCTGAGTCTTGAGTTCACTTCCTGATCTGCCTGCTCCCGCTGGCCTTTCGCCAGGGGTAAATGACAGTGACACAGCTGAGGGGTCCGCTACCTGGCTTGGCGAGGTCTCAGGTTCGACATCCTGTAGAGCTGTGAACGGACCGTGTCACAGAGGGCTGATGAAGATGGATAGAAGGTCCACAGTGGCGGGAGGGTCAGAGCCGGGGCAGCGCCAGGGTTATTCCCTCATTATTATGGACTAAAGTGCTATAGATTAGAAGGGTCTGTGTACTGCACTCCGCTGCACGCTCCCTCTATGACACGTTAAGTTACACAGTGTTCTGCAGCTTGGACTCTGTGGCTTTGGCTTTCCACTCCTAAACACCATCTGATTATTTCAGGGAGAGTCTGGAGGGAAGTTGGGGAGGGGTTGGGCCTGGGGAGAGGCTGGGCCTGGGTAGCGGCTGGGCCTGAGGAGAGGCTGGGCCTGGGTAGCGGCTGGGCCTGGGTAGCGGCTGGGCCTGAGGAGAGGCTGGGCCTGGAGAGAGCCTGTGGAGAGCCTGGGGTGAGCCTGGGCCTGGGGAGAGGCTGTGGAGAGGCTGGGCCTGAGGAGAGGCTGGGCCTGGAGAGAGCCTGGGGAGAGCCTGGGGTGAGCCTGGGCCTGGGGAGAGGCTGGGCCTGGGGAGAGGCTGGGCCTGGAAAGAGCCTGGGGTGAGCCTGGGCCTGGGGAGAGGCTGGGCCTGGGGAGAGGCTGGGAGAGGTTGGGCTGGCTGTCTGCTGGATATCCCTTACAGCCCAGACCAAACAAGGTCAGACCCTGTCTGGAACACAACAGGTCCCCAGATCCAGAACCGCCTCTAGACCAGGTCCAAGCCTAGTGCCCATGATCATGTCTATTCCCCAGATAGAATTATCAATTTGGTGTACTTATTGTTAATACACTGTAATGACTAACTTATTATACTGTACTTATAATATGAACACAGTAATAAGAACATTGTAAAGCAGGGATTCCCAAACTTGTTTGGCACACAACCCTATTTTGATATCTGAAAATTCTCAAAAATGTCATTAACAGCCAATGTTTACTTTTTTATTTGGGGCTATGGCAGTCAATTCAAAAAGATTTTAACAGTATTTCTGATTGTCGTCTCAACTCACCATCACATACTTTTAATGTCTGGCTATGAAAGTCAATTGCAAATTGGTCTGACATAATGTACTGTATCTTATCTCAACACCACTAATGAGATGGGTGCTTGATGCATGTTGCGTCGGAGCTTCTCAAAGTCAGGAGGCGTGGTTGACAGTGCACACCTCATCTCTGCTGTCACATCCAACCTGGATCGATATTTGGTATTAATACAGACAAGAGGACTGAATCCATCTTCACACAGATATGAGCTGGCCAAGGGTATCATGAGCTTTATGGTGCTGTTACGGATACAGGTATCCTGTGTGTTTTTGTGTTTTTCCTCTCCTTCTGCCCTAATCACAGGTGTCCTTTATGTTCCTGATTGGTGGTCGTTGGGGTGTCCCACCTGTCCGACATCCGTTGGTCTGCTGATTGCTGAGGTGGACCAATCAGTGGACATTCCTCTGTATTGCACCACCTGTTTCTGGTTTTTCACTTACACCTCACATTGTTTAAAAGCCAGTCAGTTGTGTTTGTTGAGAGAGACTATTTCCGTATGCGAGTATGGATACTGTTGTCACGCCCTGACTCAGGGGACGCTTATATGTTGAGTCAGGGTGTGTATATTCCTTGTTGTGCTTTTTCTATGTTTAGGATCTAGTATGTCTAGTTCTATGTTGGCCGGTGTGGTTCCCAATCAGAGGCAGCTGTCGCTCGTTGTCTCTGATTGGGGACCATACTTAAGCAGCCTATTGGCACTGTCTAGTTGTGGGATCTTGTTCCGGTTAAGGTATGTTGTGTCGTCTACCTTGGACTTCACGTTTCGTTGGTTGTTTTGTTATTGTGTTTAATAGAAAATAAACATGTATCACGCTGCGCCTTGGTCTGTCCCGTCATTAAACGAACGTGACAACTGTGGTGTTTTGTGTACTCACTCATTTGCTGGTTGCTCTGTTTGGTAACTTTGTTGTGTGTTTCTGGGAAAAGGGGGATTTAAGCAAGTTGCCCTTGGGCATACATTACCCGTAGGAAGAAAACTGTCTAAAAACACTAGTTAGACCTGAGCGGACCACCCACTGTAATTTTTGTATGATTAGCAGTAGCTTAGCGGTTCTTGAGGCAGGCAAGATCAGTTTAGTTTTTTTTTACATTATTGTTTCATTTCTTGGGTCCTGCTCAGCCCTTTTTCCCAAACCTTTACCGTGTGTTCAAAATAAACATATTCTGTTTGACGGTACCTTATGCTTGTCGTGTATTTTTTTGTTCTCACTGTTTCCATGTCACGATTCTAATTTGCATGAATTATGTTACGGGTCTCTTTTCCATCCACCATTTTAAAGCCACGGGGTTCGTAACAGGTGCTTTCAAGACAATTGGGAACTCTGAAAAATACGAGGTCAAATGATGACGTCAGTGATCTTCACGTCGGAGTGTCGGCGCTCTAGAAAGAGGTCCGAGTTGGAATTCCGAGTTGGATGACCGTTGAAAAATATTTTTTCCAGTCGGCGCTCGTTTTCTTTCGAGTTCCCAGTTGTCTTGAATGCACTGAAGTCAGAGATTTTTCAGTTCTCAGTTGTTTTGAACGCGGCATTAATGCTCAGAGGGAGACGGAAGGGTATGTATTCCCTTTGAGTCAGGAACCAAAACTCCTCCGTAGTGACCTGTGAATGCATTCGGTCACATGACAGCTCGATCAGCTGTTCCATTTCAGTTACCGGTATGTCAACTGAGCCAGGATCACAGTCAAACGGATTGGGAAGTAGGTCCCAAAGTGCTCTTCCAAGCGTTGGAGGTGAGCAGTCATCGCTCATGTGGGACATTTACTGATGCTGTTTTCTGTTAGAAACATGAACAGCCGAGGGAAGGGGGCATGGTTAACTTTTGAAAGACACCAATAATAATTATTTGTAGAATGTTTTTGTATTTCCCCTGCATGCTTGCGTTCGGTTCGCTCAGTTTCCAATATATGTCTGTTACATAGGCAAGGAGACACGTTTTCTTTTCATTACACAGAACGTCAACCAAGTATTTTTTTTTTTAATTATTTTTTTTACATTCATTGTGAATGACAACAGTTTCTCTCTCAATGCGAAAAATCTTTCCAACACTCCCCCTTGATAACCACCAAGCCTCGGTATGATATAAAACCTTTTCATGCTCTGATCCGATCTGCACATAGTTTTGTGAACAGGCGTGCACGCAGTGGATGTAATTTGATGTAGTTTACAGTCGAAGTTACCTGCTGCAGTATGTCTCCGAGTTCTGTGCTGAGCTCTTTGTTTTCACCATATCAATTGCGACCGGTAATATCATTTTTTATTTTTATTTTATTTAGGAATTTCTCCCGCGACCCCCCAACCTCTAGTTTGGGAACCAATACTGTAAAGCAACGTGTTACCGTCAGATCTTGTTGAAGGCATTCCCAGACATGGGACCTGCACTTTCTCTTACAGTAAAACTCAAACTCAGGAAACTGCACTTTCTCTCATGACAGGCTTGAACCCATTTCACATCGATGACACGACAATATCGCTGTTTTCAGAGCGGGCCCTCTCAGCCTGTGGTCCTGCTGTACCTGTGTAGACTATTCAGAGGGCCAGTCTGAGAAAGGCCACTAGCACAGACAGCATCTGTCTCCCATTTAGCACGTTATCCTTGAACTGGACCTCCTCCAGTATGATACAGGCCCTCTGGAACGCTCCCCCCAACCTAGAGTCATGCGCACTACAGCGCCATCGCGCCCACCTCTTATGGCGGCCAGATTGATTGCATTCAATATGAATTGTATTTAGTTTAGTCCCTACATCAGGTGTTAGATTTCTCAGAGTTTTAGAGCCATTTTAAACGCATATAATTGTTGAGATATTTTTTTCTTCTTCTTCAATCTCATGATGATTTATTGTTTTGAGTTTTTGGGTGGTTTGAAATTGAACACAGTTTTAGTTGCAACGCGTGGGAGAGCTATGTGTTTGGTTATTGCTTCACATGTGGCTTCAGTCTGTTCAATGATAGGAATGTAAATAACCAAATACTCTAAATATAATGTTCAAATGTTACCCAAGATCATAAATTGGACTGTCACAATGTAAGTACCCCCAGTTTACCATGCTAATATTATATTATACATTATTATAAATTATGAATAAAATGAATATTATATTCTCCTACATACTACACACAGCTGTAGAAAGAGATGCCGTTGAGATATATTTTATACTGAACAAAAATATAAACACAACATGCAACAATTTCAACGATGTTACTGAGTTACAGTAAATCAGTCAATTGATATAAATTCATTAGGCCCTAATCTATGGATTTCACTTGACTGGGCCTGGGAGGGCATAGGCTCACCCACTGGGGAGCCAGGCCCAGCCATTCAGAATGATTATTTCCCCCACAAAAGGGCTTTATTACAGACAGAAATACTCCTCAGTTTCATTAGCTGTCAGGGTGGCTGGTCTCAGACGATCCCGCAGATGAAGGAGCCGGATGTGGAGGTCCTGGGGTGGCATGGTTACACGTGGTCTGCGGTTGTGAGGCCAGTTGGACGTACTGCCAAAACTTGTTCTCTAAAACGACGTTGGAGGCGGCTTATGGTAGAGAAATGAACATTCAAATCTCTGGCAACAGCTCTGGATGACATTCCTGCAGTCAGCATGCCAATTGCACACTCCCTCAAAACTTGAGACATCTGTGGCATTGTGTTGTGTGACAAAACTGCACATTTTAGAGTGGCCTTTTATTGTCCTCAGCACAAGGTGCACCTGTGTAATGATCATGCTGTTTAATCAGCTTCTTGATATGCCACACCTGTCAGGTGGATTATCTTGGCAAAGGAGAAATGCTCACTAACAGGGATGGAACAAATTTGTGCACAACATTTGAGAGAAAGAAGCTTTTTGTGCATATGGAACATTTTGGTGATCTTTTATTTCAGCTCATGAAACATGGGACCAACACTTTACATGTTGCGTTTATATTTTTGTTCAGTGTAAATCTGCCAAACCCCTTATGAATAAACATTCAACATGATAAGACAGTAAAACCATAACTCAATCATACTGAAGAAATATCTTCTTATGACAAATACAGTAACACAATCTCTGGAGAGTGCTTTTTCATGAGAACCCTAGGTATATGAGAAGTCTAGTAATGAATAAATGAGGGGTTATTGTATCTAAGAGTACCCCATCATTACCCTGTTAACCCGTCCCTCTTTATTGGAGTCTTCTTAAACTGTGTGGGGTCACGACCGGGCACGCACACGCACGCACACGCACACTTCTATCCTCGTGAGGATCTAAAATTGATTTCAATTCAAAATCCTATTTTCCCTAACCAGTCTAAACCCTAACCCCTAACCCTAATTGTAACCGTAACCCTAAACCTTAGCTTAAAATATAATTTTCGTTGTTTTAACTATCCTTGTGGGGGCATTGGGGGATTTCAGGTCCCCACAAGGATAGAAGAACCAACCCACACACACATACACACACACACACACACGACCGGTAGGGACTCACTCACAGATGTGGTGCCTGGTACAAAGATGAGTAAGATGAACTTGCCTCCAAAGTAGAGCTAAATAATAACCTAAAGCTGTGTCTGAAATGGCACCCTATTCCCTATATAGCGCACTACTTTTGCAAAAGAAGTGCACTATATAGGGAATAGGGTGCCATTCCGGACACTGTGTGACCTAGTCTGGTGCTAGCTGGCTAAACAGGGGAATTGTCCTGCTCCATGCTCACATTCACTTCATTTCATTCCAGCGAAAGAGCTGCTGTCCAACAAACACATGCTTCATTTGCAGTGATCCGCTCCAGGTCCCGTGGGCACTCACCGGTAATTGACACCCAGCTCCAGGTCCCGTGGGCACTCACCGGTAATTGACACCCAGCTCCAGGTCCCGTGGGCACCCCCCCTCTCTCCCCTCCCTGTGCACCAACCCTGGGCCCTGGTCCAAGGAAGACCAGCGGACAGGAGGAAGCACAGGACAAAACAAAAACAAACAAACAGAGCAGGGCCGTCATAAACCTGCTTCCTGTTCCTGTAAGCCCCTCCACACAAAACATTAAGAATCAATCAGAGCAATAGGGATCACTTACCCTGCAGGGACTTGGACCGCTAGCCCAGCGCAGAGAGTGGAGTTCGCTAGCATCACCTAACAGAGAACACACCTCCACAAAGAAGACACCTTGACAGAGTTCAGACAGAGAGAGTCTGTCTGCTTTCCTGGGAATGAAAGATGCACTGTGTGTTTAAGAAGACAGGGGAACTAGCTCTCTTTCTCTCTGATGGTGTGATTCACTCAAAGGGCTAGCTCAGGGATCATGTTGCCCCCAGGCTCCATCCCCCACTTCCACCCCATCCACCCCCAGCCTTCCTGAATCCTGCCTGAGGGGAGAGTACTTTCAGGGGGCTGTCCAGGTAAGGATTTAGGGGCTCTGATTTAAGGCCCTGGGGGGACCCCACAGCTGGGTTGGGGATTAGACCCAGGGCCGGGGAAGGAAGGTTTGGGGTTGTGGGGGGGGGGGGGGATAAATCAGGGGGTCTCGTTCAAAACTCAAAAGAGAGGTAAGGAGTGGATGAGAGGAGAAATGACCAGGGTTAAAACCTACTACTGTCCTACTTCTACATCAAAATGATGATCAGGGGTTTTTCTCTGTATTATTATTATAGTTATTAGGTCCCTTTCGAACCCCTTGGTCTTGAAAAATGTTCATTCAGCTTTCTTTGTGTAAAAAGACAACAAACTCAAACAGTCAAGGTCAGGGTCTCAAACCAAAACTGTGGTTGCGGCCTAGTGCCCCACACACACACTCCCCCAAGTATTTAAACGTGTTGAGTCTACGACAGAGAGTGAGTGATGTTGCACACTGTCCCCGGAGGGCTGGAGAGACACAGCGAGAAGGGAAGGCTGATCCCCAAACCAGCCACAGGCCCAGAGACAATATGACCAGGACTGCGTTTCAAACAGACCTGGATAACTAGAGTTTTAACTCTGCTACTACTTCTATAGCTGATTCCGGGGGAACAAATAGTTACTTTCAATACAGATCCCAACCAATGACTACTTTTAAAAACTATTTGAATACAGATCCCAACCAATGACTACTTTTAAAAACTATTTGAATACAGATCCCAACCAATGACTACTTTTAAAAACTATTTGAATAAAGATCCCAACAAATGACTACTTTTAAAAACTATTTGAATAAAGATCCCAACAAATGACTACTTTTAAAAACTATTTGAATAAAGATCCCAACAAATGACTACTTAAAAAAACTATTTAAATACAGAACCCAACAAATGACTACTTTTAAAAACGATTTGAATACAGATCTCAGAAAGTAACTCGTTTTTTTAAATAAAGAAGTTGTGACACTACTGTACGACTCTTTCAACATGCCACGGAAAAGTTTGAAAGCTGCAGTAAATGTTATGATACCTGAAAATACTGCAGAGTAATTCAAAGCCATTATGCAAACATTGTAAACAACAAGTTGGATGCTTAGCAAAAACAACTTCAAACCTAAAATTAAATCAGAGTTTATTGGTTGCATACACAGATTTGAAGGTGTTATCGCAGGTGCAGTGAAATACTTGTGTTTCTAGCTCCAATAGTGCAGTAATATCTAGCAATATAAAACAATACACACATAATCCAGAAAAATACAATGTTATATAGGATGAGCCATGACTAGAATACAGTATCTACATAGCCACCGAGTGTACAAAACATTGGGAACACTTTCCTAATATTGAGTTGCACACCCTTTTGCCCTCAGAACAGCCTCAATTCGTCGGGGCATGGAATCTACAAGGTGTCGAAAGCATTCTACAGGGATGCTGGCCCATGTTGACTCCAATGCTTCCCACAGTTGTGTCAAGTTGGCTGGATGTCCTTTGGTTGGTGGACCATTCTTGATACACACAGGAAACTGTTGAGCGTGAAAAACCCAGTAGTGTTGAAGTTCTTTACACACTCAAACCGGTGCACCTGGCACCTACAAACATGCCCCGTTCAAAGGTACTTCAAACTTTTTGTCTTGCCCATTCATCCTCTGAATGGCACACATACACAATCCATGTCTCAATTGTCTCGAGGCTTAAAAATCCTTCTTTAACCTGTCCCCCCCCTTAATCTCCACTGATTTAATTATATTTAACAGGTGACATCAATAAGGGATCATAGCTTTCACCTTGTCATTCTATTGCATGGAAGGAGCAGTTGTTCCTAATGTTTTCTACACTCAGCTGTATGAAGTGGATGAAACAGTATGTAAACATTATTAATGTGACCAGTGTTCGATGACTACAGTGGGGAAAAAAAGTATTTAGTCAGCCACCAATTGTGCAAGTTCTCCCACTTAAAAAGATGAGAGAGGCCTGTAATTTTCATCATAGGTACACGTCAACTATGACAGACAAATGTGGTCCTCTGTAGCTCAGCTGGTAGAGCACGGCGCTTGTAACGCTAAGGTAGTGGGTTCGATCCCCGGGACCACCCATACACAAAAAAAAAATGTATGCACGCATGACTGTAAGTCGCTTTGGATAAAAGCGTCTGCTAAATGGCATATTATATATTATATTATATTATATTATATTATATATTATATTATATATATATATATTATACAAATTGAGAAAAAAAAATCCAGAAAATCACATTGTAGGATTTTTAATGAATTTATTTGCAAATTATGGTGGAAAATAAGTATTTGGTCACCTACAAACAAGCAAGATTTCTGGCTCTCACAGACCTGTAACTTCTTCTTTATGAGGCTCCTTTGTCCTCCACTCGTTACCTGTATTAATGGCAACTTGTTATCAGTATAATGGAAGAAAACTAAACTCCCTGCCGACCTGGCATCTTTTCACTCCCTCCTCTCTACATTTTCTTCATCTGTTTCTGCTGCTAAGGCCACTTTCTACCACTCTAAATTCCAAGCATCTGCCTCTAACCCTAGGAAGCTCTTTGCCACATTTTCCTCTCTGCTGAATCCCCCCCCCCCCCCCCCCCCCCTCCTCTCTCTCTGTGGATGACTTCGTCAACCACTTTGAAAAGAAGGTTGACGACATTCGATCCTCGTTTGTTAAGTCTAATGACACTGCTGGTCCTACTCACACTGCCCTACCCTATGCTTTGACTTCTTTCTCCCCTCTCTCTCCAGATAAAATCCTGCGACTTGTGACTGCAGGCCGCCCAACAACCTGCCCGCTTGACCCCATCCCCTCCTCTCTTCTCCAGACCATCTCCGGTGACCTTCTCCCCTACCTCACCTCGCTGATCAACTCATCCTTGACCGCTGGCCATGTCCCTTCCGTCTTCAAGAGAGCGAGAGTTGCTCCCCTTCTCAAAAAACCAACACTCGATCCCACTGATGTCAACAACTACAGACCAGTATCCCTTCTTTCTTTTCTTTCCAAAACTATTGAGCGTGCCGTCTTTAGCCAACTCTCTTGCTATCTCTCTCAGAATGACCTTCTTGATCCAAACCAGTCAGGTTTCAGGACTGGTCATTCAACTGAGACTGCTCTTGTCTGTGTCACGGAGGCTCTCCGCACTGCTAAAGCTAACTCTCTCTCCTCTGCTCTTGTCCTTCTAGACCTGTCTGCTGCCTTTGATACTGTGAACCATCAGATCCTCCTCTCCACCCTCTCCGAGCTGGGCATCTCCGGCGCGGCTCACTCCTGGATTGCGTCCTACCTGACCGGTCGCTCCTACCAAGTGGCGTGGCGAGAAGCTGTCTCCGCACCACGTGCTCTCACCACCGGTGTCCCCCAGGGCTCAGTTCTAGGCCCTCTCCTTTTCTCCCTATACACCAAGTCACTTGGCTCTGTCATATCCTCACATGGCCTCTCCTATCATTGCTACGCTGACGATACACAACTAATCTTCTCCTTTCCCCCTTCTGATAACCAGGTGGCGAATCGCATCTCTGCATGTCTGGCAGACATATCAGTATGGATGACGGATCACCACCTCAAGCTGAACCCTGGCAAGACGGAGCTGCTCTTCCTCCCGGGGAAGGACTGCCCGTTCCATGATCTCGCCATCACGGTTGACAACTCCGCTGTGTCCTCCTTCCAGAGTGCGAAGAGCCTAGGCGTGACCCTGGACAACACCCTGTCGTTCTCCGCCAACATCAAGGCGGTGACCCGCTCCTGCAGGTTCATGCTCTACAACATCCGGAGAGTACGACCCTGCCTTACACAGGAAGCGGCACAGGTCCTAATCCAGGCACTTGTCATCTCCCGTCTGGACTACTGCAACTCGCTGTTGGCTGGCCTCCCTGCCTGTGCCATTAAACCCCTACAACTCATCCAGAATGCCGCAGCCCGTCTGGTGTTCAACCTTCCCAAGTTCTCTCACGTCACCCCCCTCCTCCGCACACTCCACTGGCTTCCAGTTGAAGCTCGCATCCGCTACAAGACCATGGTGCTTGCCTATGGAGCAGTGAGGGGAACGGCACCTCTGTACCTTCGGGCTCTGATCAGTCCCTACACCCAAACGAGGGCATTGCGTTCATCCACCTCTGGCCTGCTGGCTCCCCTTCCTCTGCGGAAGCATAGTTCCCGCTCAGCCCAGTCAAAACTGTTCGCTGCTCTGGCACCCCAATGGTGGAACAAGCTCCCTCACGACGCCAGGACAGCGGAGTCACTCACCACCTTCCGGAGACATTTGAAACCCCACCTCTTTAAGGAATACCTGGGATAGGATAAAGTAATCCTTCTACCCCCCCCCCCCCCAAAAAAAAAATTGTAAAGTGGTTATCCCACTGGCTATAGGGTGAACGCACCAATTTGTGAGTCGCTCTGGATAAGAGCGTCTGCTAAATGACGTAAATGTGCCCTTGAGCAAGGCACTTAACCCTAATTGCTCCTGTAAGTCGCTCTGGATAAGAGCGTCTGCTAAATGACTAAAATGTAAAATGTAAATGTAAATGTATAAAAGACACCTGTCCACAACCTCAAACAGTCACACTCCAAACTCCACTATGGCCAAGACCAAAGAGCTGTCAAAGGACACCAGAAACAACATTGTAGACCTGCACCAGGCTGGGAAGACTGAATCTGCAATAGATAAGCAGCTTGGTTTGAAGAAATCAACTGTGGGAGCAATTATTAGGAAATGGAAAACATACAAGACCACTGATAATCTCCCTCGATCTGGGGCTCCACGCAAGATCTCACCCCGTGGGGTCAAAATGATCACAAGAACGGTGAGCAAAAATCCCAGAACCACACGGGGGGACCTAGTGAATGACCGGCAGAGAGCTGGGACCAAAGTAACAAAGCCTACCATCAGTAACACACTACGCCGCCAGGGACTCAAATCCTGCAGTGCCAGACGTGTCTACCTGCTTAAGCCAGTACATGTCCAGGCCCGTCTGAAGTTTGCTAGAGTGCATTTGGATGATCCAGAAGAGGATTGGGAGAATGTCATATGGTCAGATGAAACCAAAATAGAACTTTTTGGTAAAAACTCAACTCGTCGTGTTTGGAGGACAAAGAATGCTGAGTTGCATCCAAAGAACACCATACCTACTGTGAAGCATGGGGGTGGAAACATCATGCTTTGGGGATGTTTTTCTGCAAAGGGACCAGGACGACTGATCCGTGTAAAGGAAAGAATGAATGGGGCCATGTATCGTGAGATTTTGAGTGAAAGCCTCCTTCCATCAGCAAGGACATTGAAGATGAAACGTGGCTGGGTCTTTCAGCATGACAATGATCCCAAACACACCGCCCGGGCAACGAAGGAGTGGCTTCGTAAGAAGCATTTCAAGGTCCTGGAGTGGCCTAGCCAGTCTCCAGATCTCAACCCCATAGAAAATCTTTGGAGGGAGTTGAAAGTCCGTGTTGCCCAGCGACAGCCCCAAAACATCACTGCTCTAGAGGAGATCTGCATGGAGGAATGGGCCAAAATACCAGCAACAGTGTGTGAAAACCTTGTGAAGACTTACAGAAAACGTTTGACCTGTGTCATTGCCAACAAAGTGTATATAACAAAGTATTGAGAAACTTTTGTTATTGACCAAATACTTATTTTCCACCATAATTTGCAAATCAATTCATAAAAAATCCTACAATGTGATTTTCAGGATATTTTTTCTCATTTTGTTTGTCATAGTTGACGTGTACCTATGATGGAAATTACAGGCCTCCCTCATCTTTTTAAGTGGGAGAACTTGCACAATTGGCGGCTGACTAAATACTTTTTTTCCCCACTGTATGTACATCGGGCAGCAGTCCCTAAGATGCAGGGTAGAGTGCCGGGTGGTAGCTGGCTAAAACAGTGATCTGAGGGTAAGTGTTAACAAGGTAAATGTGAGGGGAAGTGATCTTTAATGAGATAGTTTACTCAGAATACAAACTAACATCATTTTCCACCTACTTTGGCTGTAGTTGATTCAAGAATGCAGTTTTGGGATATTTTGTTTCCTTTCGACACTTAATAGACATATTTTGTTACTGTTAGCATTCTCAGTAACACTTAACATTAAACTGTTCTTGTGCCTGTGTAAAAAACTGCAATTACTTTTGAAGCAACATTTTATTAGCATGTTGTTACATAATACTTTGGTAATTGCATTTTAATCGCATAGCAATGAGCGGAGAGTTTTTGTAACTACTTTACACAAGAGAAATAGTGACTGTTCCTTATTCCACTTATGTAATAACTATTATTATGCAATTATAAAGTAATTTCCAAAATTCTATGTAAAAACAATGTTGCTATTGTAATAATCAAAGTTACTACACATGTATAAGAACTTGATGTCAAGGTTTACTGTATTACCTTATGTCTCACTCATTATGAAAATATATTTGTTAGTCATTTTGATGCTGCAAAAGTGGTCTACTTTAATGTTGAGGGGATTCCATGTCCCTTGTATTTAATTATAGGCTATACGCTATATTAAGATTCATATCTAAGAACCTGAATTTATTTTGTCACTGGCCTACACACACACACAATACCCCATAATGTCAAAGAGGAATAATACTTTTGATTTTTTCAAATTAATTTAAAATGAAAAGCTGAAATGTCTTGAGTCAATAAGTATTCAACCCCTTTGTTATGGCAAGCTAAATAAGTTCAGGAGTAAAGTCACATAAGTCACTTAACAAGTCACATAAGTTGCATGGACTCATTCCGTGTGCAATAATAGTGTTTACATGATTATTTAATGACTACCTCATCTCTGTACCCCACACAAACAACTATCTGTAAGGTCCCTCAGTCGAGCTGTGAATTTCAAACACAGATTCTACCACAAAGACCAGGGACGTTTTCTAATGCCTCACAAAGAAGTGCATCTATTTATAGATGGGTAAAAAAAAAAAGCAGACATTAAATATCATTTTGAGCATGGTGAAATTATTAATTACACTTCGGATGGTGTATCAATACACCCAGTCGCTACAAAGATACAGGCGTCCTTCTTAACTCAGTTGCTGGAGAGGAAGGAAATCTCTCAAGGATTTCACCATGAGGCCAATGGTGACTTTAAAACAGTTACAGAGTTTAATGGCTGTTATAGGAGAAAACTGAGGATGGACCAACAACATTGTAGTTACTCCACAATAATAACCTAAACGACAGAGTGAAAAGAAGGAAGTCTGTACAGAATAAACATATTCCAAAACAGCCTGTTTCCAACAAGGCACTGAAGTAATACTGCAAAAAATGTGGCAAAGCAATGAACTTTTTGTCAAGAATACAAAATGTTATATTTGGGGCAAATCCAACACAACACATTACTGAATACCACTCTCCATATTTTCAAGCATAGTGGTGGCTGCATCATGTTATAGGTATGCTTGTAATTGTTAAGGACTGGGAAGTTTATCAGGATAAAAAATACATGGAATGGAGCTAAGCACAGGCAAAATCCTAGAGGAAAACCTGGTTCAGTCTGCTTTCCAATAGACACTGGGAGATGAATTCACCTTTCAGCAGGACAATAACCTAAAACACAAGGCCAAATCTACACTGGAGTTGCTTACCAAGAAGACAGTGAATGCTCCTGAGTGGCCGAGTTACAGTTTTGACTTAAATCTACTTGAAAATCTATGGCAAGACCTGAAAATGGTTGTCTAGCAATGATCAACAACCAATTTGACAGAGCTTGACATTTTGATAGGAATAATGGACAAATGTTGCACAATCCAGGTGTAGAAAGCTCTTAGAGACATACACACAAAGACTCACAGCTGTAATCACTGCCAAAGGTGCTTCTACAAAGTATTGACTTAGGGATTTGAATACTTATGTAAAGAAGATATTTCTGTATTTCATTTTCAATAAATGTGCACAAAAAAATCTAACGTTTTCACTTTGTCATTATGGGGTTATTGTGTGTAAATTGGTGAGAAGAAAAATCAATTTAATGCATTTTTCAATTCACACTGTAGCACAACAAAATGTGGAATACGTCAAGGAGTATGAATACTTTCTGAAAACACCTTCAAATATTGATGAGGGCTTTCCAAGAAAAACTTCAAAAAAAGGACTAATTCGAGGCAGAAAGGAGTTGGAGCACTCTGAGGAAGACGTCAGCTTGACGTCGAAATGTCAGACACCTGTTGTCATCCTGTACAATGGATTAAAGCGAGCTAAAATAAATAAATCTCTGACTTTTTTGTTGAGTGCTCGAACTCCTTTCTGCCTCCAATTAGTCCTCTTGGAAGTTTTTTTTTGGTCAGCCCTTCTCATGATTGTTGTCATTGTTGTTGTGCACTCCTGCTTTCCTTTGGTTGCTGAAGCTCCAAGGCCCACCTGAACTCTTACCTTCAAATATTGTTTGGATTTCTGAGAGGTATTCAAAATACTTTTTCTGAGACCTGTATTTGAATATCAAACAAAATGGTTGCCTTTTAGTGTAAACTCTATATAAACTTCATTAGACTACCTTGAGTATTTCAAAAGTTGGTATTTTCAAATAAACTACAAAATACAACTAATTTCTGCCCAGGTCTGGTCTGAAATGGCGCCCCCATATGGGCCTGTAGGGCTCTGGTCCAAAGTAGTGCACTACAGTCGTGGTCAAAAGTTTTGAGAATGACACAAGTATTGGTCTTCACAAAGTTCGCTGCTTCAGTGTTATGATATATTTTTGTCAGATGTTACTATGGTATACTGAAGTATAATTACAAGCATTCCATAAGTGTGAAAGGCTTTTATTGACAATTACATTAAGTTTATGCAAAGAGTCAATATTTGCAGTGTTGACCCTTCTTTTTCAAGACCTCTGCAATCCACCCTGGCATGCTGTCAATTAACTTCTGGGCCACATCCTGACTTATGGCAGCCCATTCTTGCATAATCAATGCTTGGAGTTTGTCCGAATTTGTGGGTTTTTGTTTGTCCACCCGCCTCTTGAGGATTGACCACAAGTTCTTAATGGGATTAAGGTCTGGGGAGTTTCCTGTCCATGGACCCATAATTTTGATGTTTTGTTCCCCGAGCCACTTTGTTATCACTTTTGCCTTATGGCAAGGTGCTCCATCATGCTGGAAAAGGCATTGGTCGTCACCAAACTGTTCTTGGATGGTTGGGAGAAGTTGCTCTCGGAGGATGTGTTGGTACCATTCTTTATTCATGGCTGTGTTCTTAAGGCAAAATTGTGAGTGAGCCCACTCCCTTGGCTGAGAAGCAACCCCACACATGAATGGTCTCAGGATGCTTTACTGTTGGCATGACACAGGACTGATGGTAGCGCTCACCTTGTCTTCTCTGGACAAGGTGTTTTCCGGATGCCCCAAATAATCGGAAAGGGGATTCATCAGAGAAAATGACTTTACCCCAGTCCTCAGCAGTCCAATCCCTGTACCTTTTGCAGAATATCAGTCTGTCTCTGATGTTTTTCCTGGAGAGAAGTGGCTTCCTCGCTGCCCTTCTTGACACCAGGCCATCCTCCAAAAGTATTCGCCTCACTGTGCGTGCAGATGCACTCACACCTGCCTGCTGCCATTCCTGAGCAAGCTCTGCACTGGTGGTGCCCCGATCCCACAGCTGAATCAACTTTAGGAGACGGTCCTGGTGCTTGCTGGACTTTCTTGGGCGCCCTGACGCCTTCTTCACACAATTGAACCTCTCTCCTTGAAGTTCTTGATGATCCGGTAAATGGTTGATTTAGGTGCAATCTTCCTAGCAGCAATATCCTTGCCTGTGAAGCCCTTTTTGTGCAAAGCAATGAAGACGGCACGTGTTTCCTTGCAGGTCACCATGGTTAACAGAAGAAGAACAATGATTTCAAGCACCACCCACCTTTTAAAGCTTCCAGTCTGTTATTCTAACTCAATCAGCATGACAGAGTGATCTCCAGCCTTGTCCTCGTCAACACTCTCACCTGTGTTAACGAGAGAATCACTAACATATGATGGCAGCTGGTCCTTTTGTGGCAGGGCTGAAATGCAGTGGAAATGCTTTTTTGGGATTTTTTGGAGTATACAGTGGGGGGAAAAAAGTATTTAGTCAGCCACCAATTGTGCAAGTTCTCCCACTTAAAAAGATGAGAGAGGCCTGTAATTTTCATCATAGGTACACATTTACATTTTTACATTTTAGTCATTTAGCAGACGCTCTTATCCAGAGCGACTTACAGGAGCAATTAGGGTTAAGTGCCTTGCTCAAGGGCACATTAACGTCATTTAGCAGACGCTCTTAGCCAGAGCGACTCACAAATTGGTGCGTTCACCCTATAGCCAGTGGGATAACCACTTTACAATTTGGGGGGGGGGGGGGGTTAGAAGGATTACTTTATCCTATCCCAGGTATTCCTTAAAGAGGTGGGGTTTCAAATGTCTCCGGAAGGTGGTGAGTGACTCCGCTGTCCTGGCGTCGTGAGGGAGCTTGTTCCACCATTGGGGTGCCAGAGCAGCGAACAGTTTTGACTGGGCTGAGCGGGAGCTATGCTTCCGCAGAGGAAGGGGAGCCAGCAGGCCAGAGGTGGATGAACGCAATGCCCTCGTTTGGGTGTAGGGACTGATCAGAGCCTGAAGGTACAGAGGTGCCGTTCCCCTCACTGCTCCATAGGCAAGCACCATGGTCTTGTAGCGGATGCGAGCTTCAACTGGAAGCTAGTGGAGTGTGCGGAGGAGGGGGGTGACGTGAGAGAACTTGGGAAGGTTGAACACCAGACGGGCTGCGGCATTCTGGATGAGTTGTAGGGGTTTAATGGCACAGGCAGGGAGGCCAGCCAACAGCGAGTTGCAGTAGTCCAGACGGGAGATGACAAGTGCCTGGATTAGGACCTGTGCCGCTTCCTGTGTAAGGCAGGGTCGTACTCTCCGAATGTTGTAGAGCATGAACCTGCAGGAGCGGGTCACCGCCTTGATGTTGGCGGAGAACGACAGGGTGTTGTCCAGGGTCACGCCTAGGCTCTTCGCACTCTGGGAGGAGGACACAGCGGAGTTGTCAACCGTGATGGCGAGATCACGGAACGGGCAGTCCTTCCCCGGGAGGAAGAGCAGCTCCGTCTTGCCAGGGTTCAGCTTGAGGTGGTGATCCGTCATCCATACTGATATGTCTGCCAGACATGCAGAGATGCGATTCGCCACCTGGTTATCAGAAGGGGGAAAGGAGAAGATTAGTTGTGTATCGTCAGCGTAGCAATGATAGGAAAGGCCATGTGAGGATATGACAGAGCCAAGTGACTTGGTGTATAGGGAGAAAAGGAGAGGGCCTAGAACTGAGCCCTGGGGGACACCAGTGGTGAGAGCACGTGGTGCGGAGACAGCTTCTCGCCACGCCACTTGGTAGGAGCGACCGGTCAGGTAGGACGCAATCCAGGAGTGAGCCGCGCCGGAGATGCCCAGCTCGGAGAGGGTGGAGAGGAGGATCTGATGGTTCACAGTATCAAAGGCAGCAGACAGGTCTAGAAGGACAAGAGCAGAGGAGAGAGAGTTAGCTTTAGCAGTGCGGAGAGTCTCCGTGACACAGAGAAGAGCAGTCTCAGTTGAATGACCAGTCCTGAAACCTGATTGGTTTGGATCAAGAAGGTCATTCTGAGAGAGATAGCAAGAGAGTTGGCTAAAGACGGCACGCTCAATAGTTTTGGAAAGAAAAGAAAGAAGGGATACTGGTCTGTAGTTGTTGACATCAGTGGGGTCGAGTGTTGGTTTTTTGAGAAGGGGAGCAACTCTCGCTCTCTTGAAGACGGAAGGGACATGGCCAGCGGTCAAGGATGAGTTGATCAGCGAGGTGAGGTAGGGGAGAAGGTCACCGGAGATGGTCTGGAGAAGGGAGGAGGGGATGGGGTCAAGCGGGCAGGTTGTTGGGCGGCCTGCAGTCACAAGTCGCAGGATTTTATCTGGAGAGAGAGGGGAGAAAGAAGTCAAAGCATAGGGTAGGGCAGTGTGAGCAGGACCAGCAGTGTCATTAGACTTAACAAACGAGGATCGGATGTACACGTCAACTATGACAGACAAAATGAGGAAAAAAAATCCAGAAAATCACATTGTAGGATTTTTAATGAATTTATTTGCAAATTATGGTGGAAAATAAGTATTTGGTCAATAACAAAAGTTTCTCAATACTTTGTTATATACCCTTTGTTGGCAGTGACACAGGTCAAACGTTTTCTGTAAGTCTTCACAAGGTTTTCACATACTGTTGCTGGTATTTTAGCCCATTCCCCCATGCAGATCTCCTCTAGAGCAGTGATGTTTTGGGGCTGTCGCTGGGCAACACGGACTTTCAACTCCCTCCAAAGATTTTCTATGGGGTTGAGATCTGGAGACTGGCTAGGCCACTCCAGGCCCTTGAAATGCTTCTTACGAAGCCACTCCTTCGTTGCCCGGGCGGTGTGTTTGGGATCATTGTCACGCTGAAAGACCCAGCCACGTTTCATCTTCAATGCCCTTGCTGATGGAAGGAGGTTTTCACTCAAAATCTCACGATACATGGCCCCATTCATTCTTTCCTTTACACGGATCAGTCGTCCTGGTCCCTTTGCAGAAAAACTGCCCCAAAGCATGATGTTTCCACCCCCATGCTTCACAGTAGGTATGGTGTTCTTTGGATGCAACTCAGCATTCTTTGTCCTCCAAACACGACGAGTTGAGTTTTTACCAAAAAGTTCTATTTTGGTTTCATCTGACCATATGACATTCTCCCAATCCTCTTCTGGATCATCCAAATGCACTCTAGCAAACTTCAGACGGGCCTGGACATGTACTGGCTTAAGCAGGGGGTTACGTCTGGCACTGTAGGATTTGAGTCCCTGGCGGCGTAGTGTGTTACTGATGGTAGGCTTTGTTAATTTGGTCCCAGCTCTCTGCAGGTCATTCACTAGGTCCCCCCGTGTGGTTCTGGGAATTTTGCTCACCGTTCTTGTGATCATTTTGACCCCACGGGGTGAGATCTTGCGTGGAGCCCCAGATCGAGGGAGATTATCAGTGGTCTTGTATGTCTTCCATTTCCTAATAATTGCTCCCACAGTTGATTTCTTCAAACCAAGCTGCTTACCTATTGCAGATTCAGTCTTCCCAGCCTGGTGCAGGTCTACAATTTTGTTTCTGGTGTCCTTTGACAGCACTTTGGTCTTGGCCATAGTGGAGTTTGGAGTGTGACTGTTTGAGGTTGTGGACAGGTGTCTTTTATACTGATAACAAGTTCAAACAGGTGCCATTAATACAGGTAACGAGTGGAGGACAGAGGAGCCTCTTAAAGAATAAGTTACAGGTCTGTGAGAGCCAGAAATCTTGCTTGTTTGTAGGTGACCAAATACTTATTTTCCACCATAATTTGCAAATAAATTAATTAAAAATCCTACAATGTTTTCCTCAATTTGTCGCTCATAGTTGACGTGTACCTATGATGAAAATTACAGGCCTCTCTCATATTTTTAAGTGGGAGAACATGCACAATTGGTGGCTGACTAAATACTTTTCCCCCCCACTGTATGCAAATTGCCATCATCAAAACTGAGGCAGCAGACTTTGTGAAAATTAGTATTTGTGTCATTCTCAAAACTTTTGACCACGATAGGGAATAGGGGGCCATTTGGGATGTAATCTGGGGCTCCGTCCCGATTCTCCACCTGCATCACAACATGTGCACTTCTTCTTGTGGATTTGAAACCCCTTCCAGCCAATTATTACACTAATCCAATGCTTTGACATCTAAGAGAGGAGTGAAGGGTGAAGGGTGGAGAATTAGGACGCAGCCTGGGACAACATGAATGGGACCCAACCAGGCTGCAGGCTGCTGCTACACACAGAGCCATATAAGAGCTGCCTGGTGAAAACTGGTCATCTGCCGGATTCATGAGGGCTATAGCTACCCACATCCTGTTTTGAGAGAGATGCCGATGTCAATTTACGGAAGAATCACGGCCGTCATAGAGGGAGCGTGCCCAGTAGTGGGTACCGAGGTATTTTTATCGTTGTCATTTGGCTAATACTCCAGCTAACTCCTAATACTCCCCTAAAGCCACAACCCAGACTGTAACAGCCCTCCCTGTTCCTGCCTTTAAGATATGAGGAAAGAGCTAGAAGAGGTGAACTGTACTCTACCCGTTTTAATCCGCCACAATAGTTCACATGTGTTATCAATCTGTGACAATCAGGTTATTACTCAAAGTTACATCATTTCACTGAGATAAAAACAATCAAGGTTTCAAAACAACCCCATAGATAGGATCTAGTGACAGCTCCATATTTTGAGTAAGGGGGGGGGGAGACAATTTGACATAGTAAAAATTGAAGTAAAAGTGTGGTTCCATCTTTTTTTAAATTAACAAAATACACTTTGGAAACAGTACGTACAGTGCATTCAGAAAGTATTCAGACCCATTTACTTTTTCCACATTTTGTTACATTACATCCTTATTCTAAAATTGATTAAATTGATTTTTTCCCCTCAATCTACACACAATACCCCAATAATGACAAATCAAAAACAGGTTTTTAGAAATTCTTCGAATGTATTAAAAATAGAAAATGGAAATATCACATTTACATAAGTATTCAGACCCTTTACTCAGTACATTGTTGAATCACCTTTGGCAGTGATTACAGCCTTGAGTCTTCTTGGGTATGACGCTACAAGCTTGGCACACCTGTACTTGGGGAGTTTCTCCCATTCTTCTCTGCAGATCCTCTCAAGCTCTGTCAGGTTGTATGGGGAGTGTTGCTGCACAGCTATTTCAGGTCTCTCCAGAGATGTTAGATCGGGTTCAAGTCTGGGCTCTGGCTGGGCCACTCAAGGACATTCAGAGACTTGTCCCGAAGTCACTCCTGCGTTGTCTTGGCTGTGTGCTTAGGGTCGTTGTCCTGTTGGAAGGTGAACCTTCGCCCCCAGTCTGAGGTCCTGAGCGCTCTGGAGCAGGTTTTCATCAAGGATCTCTCTGTACTTTGCTCCGTTCATCTTTCCCTCGATCCTGACTAGTCTCCCAGTCCCTGCCACTGAAAAACATCCCCACAGCATGATGCTGCCACCACCATGCTTCACTGTGGGGATGGTGTTCTCGGGGTGATGAGAGGTGTTGGGTTTGCGCCAGACATGGCCAAAAAGCTCAATTTTAGTCTTATCTGACCAGAGTACCTTCTTCCATATGTTTGGGGAGTCTCCCACATGTCTTTTGGCGAACACCAAAGGTGCAAATGGCTTTTTTCTGGCCACTCTTCCGTAAATCCCAGCTCTGTGGAGTGTACGGCTTAAAGTGGTCCTACGGATAGATACTCCAATCTCCGCTGTGGAGCTTTGCAGCTCCTTCAGGGTTATCTTTGGTCTCTTTGTTGCCTCTCTGATTAATGCCCTCCTTGCCTGGTCCGTGAGTTTTGGTGGGCGGCCCTCTCTTGGCAGGTTTGTTGTGGTGCCATATTCTTTCCATTTTTAAATAATTGATTTAATGGTGCTCCGTGGGATGTTCAAAGTTTCAGATATTTTTTTATAATCCAACTCTGATCTGTACTTCTCCACAACTTTGTCCCTGACCTGTTTGAAGAGCTCCTTGGTCTCCATGGTGCCGCTTGCTTGGTGGTGCCCCTTGCTTAGTGGTGTTGCAGACTCTGGGGCCTTTCAGAACAGGTGTATATATACTGAGATCATGTGACAGATCATGTGACACTTAGATTGCACACAGGTGGACTTTTTAAAACGAATTATATGTGAGTTCTGAAGGTAATTGGTTGCACCAGATCTTATTTAGGGGCTTCATAGCAAAGGGGGTTAAATACATATGCACGCACCACTTTTCCGTTATTTATTTTTAAATAATTTTTTGAAACAAGTTATTTTTTTTCATTTCACTTCACCAATTTGGACTATTTTGTGCATGTCCATTACATAAAATTCAAATAAAAATCTATTTCAATTACAGGTTGTAATGCAACAAAATAGGAAAAACGCCAAGGGGGATGAATACTTTTGCACAGGTGTGTGCCTTTACAAATCATGTCCAATCAATTGAATTTACCACAGGTGGACTCCAATCAAGTTGTAGAACCATCTCAAGGATGATCAATGGAAACAGGGTGCACCTGAGCTCAATTTCGAATACTTATGTAAATAAGGTATTTCTGTTTTTTATCTGTAAACATAAAAAAAAAATTATTGCTTCGTCATTATGGGTTATTGTGTGGGGAAAATAAAGTATTTAATTCATTTCAGAATAAGGCCGTAACGTAACAAAATGTGGAAAAAGTCAAGGGGTCTGAATACTTTCCGAATGCACTGTACATATGGGACAGATATAGGCCTGCAGTGCAATAGCAGATTTGCTACCGTATAGGAAACACATAAAAACGATCTGAAACCCTGTTGAGTTATACACATACACACACACGAAAACAGCCTGACGAATGCCAGTGTAGGTGTGAATGTCTCCCTAGCTGCCTCCCTCCCTCTCCCTCTCATTCTGTCCACCACACCTCGGCTGTGCTCCCCCCCTCTCCCCTGGAAGAAGTTCTCTGTGTCCAGATAATAAAAGACTGCTGCTGGGTGCCGCCAGGCCCTTGTTATTCGCACGCGGAGGGCAGGACACTGCTGCGTCAGCTTGGGCCTGGCCTGCCCTTCAAAGCCAACCCTCCTCCATATCAAAAGTGGTGCTTAAAGTAACCAGAGAATGGCCATTTACTTTTCTTTAAATTAGCTCAGGCAACAAAATTTCACTGTGGTTTACTTCCACCACCGTCTGTATGGCTGGAACACCATGATGTCATTGGGCTGTAGTAAGGACATGTGCAGCCAGCAGATGTAAAAAAAAGAAAAAGAAAAAAGGTTCCCCCGATTTAGGGGTAATTTGTAACAGATCTAAATTAAGCCAACTGCCAAGAGTTCACAGTGCTGTTTTCCCTCCAATTAAAAGACTGTAAACTCCAAAAAGTTTGAATTTTGCAGGTGCCGCAAATTGGGGTCAATGAGTATCAAATCTGGCCGCTCTCTCTCTCGATGAAAGATGCCCCGTTTCAACTGCCTGTGGGGGCTTTGGTTCTCCTCGTATGCTATTTAGTAACCCCTCCCGCCCTAAGGAGAGAGAAAGAAAATAGCACAGGAATGTTTTTGGCGCTACATCTGCCAAAGTCTTCAAAGTGGAAGAAGGGCTCCATTGTCAGCGAGGGAAAGGACAGACAGACAAAACAATATTGAAGATCTGTGAAAGAGAACGCCTTGGCCTGGCCTACAGTACGCTGGCCTGACCCTCAGAGCTCTGTGTACCTCTCACTGTCTGTCTGTCTGTCTGTCGACTATTGTGTCCCCAAGCCTCTGGGAAAGACAAGATCAACCTGTGTGTGTGTATGTCCCATCCCTCTATGAGATTTGTGTATGAGGGTCCAGGGACACATGATAGATGAGGTCCATTTTAGGGCAGAATCTGTGATCAAATGTGTCCGTCTAAGTTAACAAAACTCAGTCGCTGGTACAGCAGCTAAATAGTTATTTTATTGAGGCGAGTGGGTGCTATTATTAAAGGACTCAACAGGACCCTGTATGGTTCATACATATTGTACCAATAGGGCCTAGCTGAGTGTGGCGTATGTCATCGCAGACCTCTGGTAAAAAAAAACCCAAAGGGGAAGAAATGTGAGGCTCACCAAAAAACCATTCAAAACCAAAAGTGGCTCATAGTTCCAATCCTAGAGATTCCAAAAGGAAAACCTCATCTCTTAGCGGTGGACTTGATTAAGTAAAAAACAACAGGGCCACGAACATCAAATGTGAGGAAAATATGAATGTGCCCTCGTAATGTCAATAATTTGTTTGGCTGCTACCGTTTGGAGTGACTCAATGTTTGAAAAGCAAAAGGCTCTTAAAGATCTGGATTTGAACCCCCCTTTTGCTTTCTCTCTCTCCTTTCTGCATTTTTAGCTCATATTTCTCTTCCTGTCACGTACGTGCGTCCCTCATCGTCGCTGGCTACCTCAGTGAGAGAACGAAGCCACTAAAAACACCCCAATAACTACAAATCACCACATTGTACATCAACATCATTACACAGACGCCACAAATCTTGCCTGTTCAATGTAAACCACTTCGTAGTGAAGACGTGAATTCCAAAACTAGCTCATTATGACACCGTAATATTACACCACAACCAGTGTTCCTTAGTTAGTCTGAATGGTAGCCAGCAGTGGAATACCCACACAGGGGCAGCCTCGTCCAAAGCTGCTGACAATCACAGAAAACCAAGAGAGCCCATTGGGGAAACCAGCCCCCAGAGCCACTATGTTCCAAAATTAACTTTGTGGAAGCGAGGTCTCTAGGAGCTTCAAAAACACAGGCAGGAGAGAATGGGGCTCTAATGTTTTCCACTTATCCTGGAATGTGACCTTCCCCAAGCCCAGTTTCTCTACACCGACCGCATATTTGCTGTTTGTTTTGACCATGCTCCCTGAGGGTGAAAAATACAGAACGGGAGGAAGAGAAGAAGGCAAGAAAAAGCGATGGAAACACTCGTCTGCCAGGACTGCAGCAATTTCTTTTCAAACTATTCAGAGTGATGCAATGGGAGTGTTATTGGGTTTCACTGACAGGACAACCGCAGCTACACACACTCTCAGTTCAGTGTTGTGGGCGAGACACACAGTAACAGACATCCAAGGCCTCTCTAAACAGCCTGTGCTTTTCAAACTGCTTCAGTGCCACGGTCTGAAGTCTTCCACAGAATCGGAGTAGAACCGTAATGGCAGAACTACACAGAGACACACAGGGGCATTTATCTTACATAGGAACCCACATACAACACAACACACATACACACACACACACATAATAATGGTCCATGACAACACATTTACAATGGAGGCCCTTGGTGGGGCGCCCATGCAGGCAGGGCTGGGTTCAAAGCTCTGTGGCAGTGGGGCCCCTGGGCAGGGCTCAGAGTATGTGTGAGTGTAACGGTGGGGCCCCTGGGCAGGGCTCAGAATACGTGTGAGTGTAACGGTGGGGCCCCTGGGCAGGGCTCAGAGTATGTGTGAGTGTAACGGTGGGGCCCCTGGGCAGGGCTCAGAGTATGTGTGAGTGTAACGGTGGGGCCCCTGGGCAGGGCTCAGAGTATGTGTGAGTGTAACGGTGGGGACCATGGGCAGGGCTCAAAGAGTGTGTGACAGTGGGGCCCCCGGGCAGAGTTGAAGGTGGTGTGGCGGTGGCCAGTCAGAGGAACAGAGGAGAAAGTCATTAAAAGGCTTAAGACCTTATAACGTGATCTCCGAGTTTCAGACAGAGAGGTTTTCTTTTGGAATTTTTCTCGTGCCATTTTCAGTTTTGATTGAGAACATGTCGAGGTCGGTCGGTCCCGCCGAGCCCAGTCTCAGTCCGAGTCTAGAGGACCTGCCTGGTCTGACGTCCTTACAGGGTTTCACTTCTCTCCGGGGTACTGGCAACCCGTCAGCTAATGTTTTATTTTAACCCCTTTTTCTCCCCAATTTCGTGATATCCAATTGGTGGTTACAGTCTTGTCCCATCGCTGCAACTCCCCTACGGACTTGGGAGGCGAAGGTTGTGCCTTAGACCGCTGCGCCACTCGGGAGGCCCTACCCGTCAGCTAATTTATTACAACATCAGAAATACTCATCCGCTCTGACTGAGCCTGTGTGGCCTACTGCCAATCTAATGGTTTTTGTGAAACCCTCAGGTTTTCTTACATCATGTATGGGACCAAACCCTTTGCAATGCTTTTTTAAAAATGTATGCGCGTCCATTTCCTCTGTCCCGGTACGGCTTGGGAGAGCTGGGAAAAACGGGACTTCAAAATGGGGGGCAGCTGCAATCAATAGAATGGTTTCCCTGGCTACTGCCGGTGTTAATTGATCAAATGTGGTAATGCTAACTAAGCCCAACATTTTCCTGCTTTGCTTTTTTTGAAAGCGGAAATTCAAGAGCGGAAACAGATTAAATGGTGAGGGAGAGACAGTAAAATATACCTTATGAGGCATTGGAGTTGTTCACCAATCTCATGCATGTATGCAGTATCAAAGCACTTCCATACTTACTAGGACTGCTCCTTAAATATATCTTCTAATTTTTTGTTCCCCGTCAGCTTCAGGGGGAAGCTAATGTCACTGCCCTCTGAATGGGCTTTAGTGGCAGCAGCTTAGGTTTTCCATCACTTTAGCATGCCTTCCTTGACAAAGGGAATGGAGAAACTTCCTCCAATGTAACACTAGAAAAACAACCTTTTTTTGGTCCTGTCAAACTGTTTTGTGGTTTAAAGTAGTTGGCTTTTATTTATTTCCATTTTGACCCTATTGAGAGTTGATTTCAAGACCACCTGAGTAATTCTATATGTATAAATGGTGTTCAGTGAAGAAACAATCTGCCATCTGTCAGAGCAACAGTAGACAAGTGGTTTGAAGTTAACCAAATGCATTGTATTCCCAAACCCATTAAAAGCCTACTCCCCATCGTGAACATGCCAAGTGTGTTAAAAGTCATACGGATCAATCAACTCTTTGAATATTAGCATATATTGGCCAATGACTAGTATGAGTGTCATTTGATTTCAATACAAAATCCTGGCACAATATTGGCCAAATCAATCCACGAGAGCAAACCTAACCCACAAACTGGGAAGAGAGGATATTCCAAAAACCAACTGATTAGGTGTAAGAGTAAATGTAGGGTTAATTGCTAGAAATGCTAGATGATTTATAAATGACCTGGCATCTGATTCATGGCCATACATTGTGATAAATAACATAAAACACTTCAACAGTTGAGACGACTCCAACAGCTGAGGTACAAATATCTCGGACCTAGGCTATAACATACAGACTTTTCTAGAAAATGCGTATCACTCAGCCGCACTGTATACTTAGTTCCCTCAAGGTCACTGTTGTCATCGTTCGTATTGTAATCTACAACATCGGATATAGCATTGCTTTGAAGACAATGTCAAAATTACCTCAAATCGAATTTAATTTACAACGCTTTCAGAGTCAGACCATAGCTAGAAACATTGTCTTTCTGAGCCAGAAACCTTTTGTGACCATGTACAGTGAAGCCATGTCTGTCTACCCAGCTCAGACAGCAGTGCAGTACACTGTATCCCACTGGACTGAGACGGACACACCCAAATGGCACCCTATTCCCTATATAGTGCACTACTTTTGACCAGAGCCCTATGGGCCATTTGTCAAAAGTAGTGCACTACATAGGGAATAGGGTGCCATTTGGGACAAAGACACTGATAGAGCGCTGTGTGAGAGAGAGGGAGGGAGCCACAGGTGTACAGCGTAGCACAGCACGGCCCTGCCTTGACTTGACAGAGAACGATACATAATCCACCACTTTGTGATGGCTCTCGTCTGGGGCTGAGCTGAGGAGGAAAGGAAAGGAAAACCCACATCCCTGGTTGCATATATTTCAGAGGTTTTGAGTTCACCCTCCCTGACCCGCCGGCCGCCGACGCAAAAGAGAAGGAAGAGCGAGACCCAAACAAAACACACTTCAGACGCCTCAGGGAACACCAGTTTTAATTTAAAAGAAATACTCGTAGCAGACAGACAAAGTTGTCGTGAAAAGCAGTCAGAGAAGGTTTTACAATTCAAGCGAGTTTAAAAAGGGCTCAAACATCACTACCCTAGTGTATAATGTCATTGACCGTAGTCCTGCAGAATCTCAACTGGACATCCATTGCGTACACTCAAAGAGCGACTCGGAGAGAGATTTACACATTTACTTATAGGACAGGGGCCTTCTGGGGGCCCACAACAGCTTTGTTCTTCACAGTTGTTTCTATTGGCAAGCTCCATCTCTGGACATACAGTATATTTTGTCACGGGGGCTGTCTGAAATGTCCAAGCATTAGTGGTTCGACTCTTATGCGCTGGTACGAGGCAGCTGCACAGAACAGCTACAGAGACGGAAATGGGCTTTCCTGCCCAGTCCAGATTCGACATGTTTTTACTGTCTCAGTTTCACTGAGGAGAGAGAGAGATTATGGCTGTGTGGTTGGTGTTTGGTGTTCTCTTAGCTTGGACAAATACTCACATGGCTACTAAACATGAGGATATCAGGCACTTGATTTGATTCTTCCCTGAGACATAGCTGTCAGAGGACAGAGGAGGAGTCTGGGAAGCATCTTAAATACACACATATCTCAAAATCAGCCTCTGTTGGTCATCATTTGTTTTTCAGGTGAGGCTGCAGGTTAAAACAAGCTGTGGTCAGGTACTTCAATATGGTCTCTGGCTCAAATGACACCCTGTTCCCTACATAGTGCTCTACCCACATAGGGGCCCTGTTCAAAAGTAGTGCACTATGTAGGGAATAGGGTGCCATTTGAGATGTAACCGAGGTATCCTTATTCCCTATATAGTGCACCGCTTTTGTCAAACTACTGTGGTTACAGAAGTGCACTATATAGGGAATAGGGTGTAATTTGACGTAACCAAGGTGACAGTAGAGATGGTTAGGTGAAGAGGCGGATGGTGGCGTCAGCCCCTGAGGAAAACACCCAGGGCTGGGTGGGGTGGAAGGTCACGTCTAGGACCCCCAGGTCGTGGGTTATCTGGTGACCCTTCAGTACCTTAACTGGAACAATGAGAGGGTTCTGGAGCAGGTCACTGTGAGAGGAAGAGAGACAGACAGAGCGAGAGAGCGAGAGAGAGAGAGAGAGAGAGAGGTAGGGGAAGAGGGAAAGAGTGAGGGAGGGAGAAAGATGGATAGAGAGAGCAATAGAGAGATATGTTATGACATCAGAACACGGCAGACAATTTTCTAAAGTTATTTTTTCTTCATTCAAATGCCATTGAGGGTTATACTGTCGAAATGAAACGTACAATACAGGAAACATGGTTTGTAGAATAGGCATCAACATTTTGGTGAGTTGGAAACGGAACGCAGGGGCAAAAATAACATATTTGGTTGTAACATAAAGATATCTATTAGATGGAGACTGATGAAGGGGTTGGATCCTGAGATGTTTTGCCCTCAACTGTACACGCTTCATTACCCTTTCTCAGAGATTTTTTATAACCTAAGTGGCTCTATATGTGATGGAGGACAGCCCAAAATGGGTTCAGAGATATTGTGTGTGTGTGTGTGTGTGTGTGTGTGTGTGTGTGTGTGTGTGTGTGTGTGTGTGAGAGAGTGAGAGTGAGAGTGAGAGAGAGAGAGAGAGAGAGAGAGAAAATAAAACAAAACAAAAAATAGGAAAAGCTGGTGGTTATACACATGAGACAGAATAGAGGAAGAGACAGAAGAGAGACAGAAGAGAGAAGTGAGAGAGAGACAGAGAGAGAGAGAGAGAGAAGGGAAGATGTAATATTGTATTGATGGGCTGAGGTGACTTACTTGTAGACCATGCCGTGACAGACGATCACACTGCCGTCATCAGCACCAGAGGCGAATAGGGGGTAGTGTTTGTGATAGGCCACGCCCCTCAAAGCCTTCTTGTGGTGCCTGGGATAAAATAGACAAAAGACTTCAGATCCAATAAAACACTAATCTTATGAATAACCATCATTTAACAATAACCCATGGTCAAAAACTATTATTCACTGTCAATAATTACAAATGTTCACTCACCGCAGCATCTTGTAGGGTTTGGTGGAGAGGTCCAGATCAAACCAGGCCAGTCTGCAGTCATAGCTGCCACAGATCAGGTTATCACCTGACCAGGAACATTAAGGAGGGAGATTCAGAGACGGGTCAGAACAACTAAATATCCTGGATTCTCTAACTAAGTAGCCATAGAGCAAAACATATTTATACAATTTGATCCAATATGAAGGTGGTCCAGATATTCAACACATATCGGACTTCTCTACTCATTCTCTCCTCGAGAATGAACATCAAATCAAACTTTATTGAAAGTGCATTTCGCCTTCTCTCCACACCCTTTTACAGTACATCATACGGTCTTGTCTGAGGGGGGGACCTGTGACCTCTGGCGCTGCACTAACCTCCAGGGTGAATGGCCATGCTGGAGATCCACTTGCAGTTGGCCATCAGCTTCTTGGTCAGCTCTTGCTTGATGAGGTTGTAGACGCGCACGGAGCGCTGCGTGGCCACGAAGAAGTAGGGCCGCAGGGGGTGGAAGGAGACGCACTGCACCAGGCCCTTGTTCTTACGGAAGGGGTTCTGCGTCCGCCGCTTGCTCACCTGGTGGATCAGCACCTGCAGGTTGCTGCTGTTGTCAGGCATGACGCTGGCCAGGTATTCACCCTTACCGTGCCACACTACCTGCTTCACTGCCTGGAGGACGGAGGGAGGGAGGGAGGGGAAGAAAATTAGAAAGGAGGGGGGAGATGGAGATATTACTACTAACTATACACTACTATTATAGTAACACATTATAATACATGTTTTATAGTCCATCTAGGACTACAGCTAAAGTACATTAATCCAATGATAATCTCTCCAGACACTTGAAAATCTCCCTGCAGTTATTTTAGCTACTATTAGTGCTGTAGGCTTTCCAAATGCCATGTGCATCTGTGACAACAACAAAAAATATATATATTTGTTTTAATTGGGGGAAAATGGAAAGCTCTTATATTCCTTTCCATTGCCTTGAGGAAAACGGCTAACCACAATCTACTCTGGTTTTGCCAATCCTGAAAAGCCTCCAAGCTACAGCTCATGTGTTGGACTAGAAAGGTTTACTGGGGTAAAGACAAAAAAAGATGTCATGGGGGTTCCCAGTATGTCCATTGGAATATTTTTCTATCTGGTATTCTCAGTTCCCTGTGGCTTAAACCCTAGATAGGGTCCTCGGGACGTACTAAGGATAGCCTTTTACCTTTACAGTAGTCATGATAAGGGTTGGGTGGGAGTGAAGGGGAGTTGGGTTAGGGACTGTTAACTTGGGATGGGTGTGGGTGAGGGGGCCATTGGGATAGTTTCGGGGCCTTACTTTGGGGTGGGTGAGGCAGGGCTTTTCCTTCGGACAAGTAGGAAGCTCAAGTAACAAAATATGACCCTGGGACAGTTCTGGGACGACAGATCCAAAATTCACTGCACATCAAAAACTGTAAAAACAACAATGCGCACATGCCTGTAGGCTACACGCAAATGTTCCAAAATGCAAGTAGCGGGAAAACACTGTTGTCAAAAGCGCACCACACGCAAGAGCGGTTTCATGTGACAGATGAAAATATTAGTTAGAAATTAAGAAAGAGGGGAGACCTAGAGATGCATCAACTAGCATGGGTCACTAATATGACTAGGATTATGCCTTTGGCTGCTGGACAATAAAATAACGATGAGTTTGAAAACCAATATAACATGAGAAAAATGCTGGTTTCAATAGCATGTTAAGTGTTTATAAAATAATTCCCTACATTTCTATGGTCGTATTTTGGCTAGGCTAGGTTACTTTGAAACAAGGTAAGACGCTTCATAAAACGACATAAAACATCCAGGTTTTAAACAATGAAGTTTATGATTAAATCGTTTTAAAATGCTGACCGCCTCCGATCAGATTCAAGGTGGGTACTGTCTTTTATGCTCCGGTCTTGTGACCATTTGATATGAACAAACCATTGCCTCGAGTATGTGGACAGAATCAAGCCTTTAGACGTCAATGTTAATTCTCCTTCATTATATTTGTAAAACATGACTGGCGTTAAGTCTATATTTATGTAGGCCATAATTAAAAGTCTCATTAAAGTTTGGCTACATTTTCTGCCGCCTCCCTCATGTCTGGGTTTGGACAGGAGGCACATCACCTACACTTTGAAATGTAGGCTTTTTTTATTTATGTATTATTCCAATATTGACCTCTTTGATCCAATTCTGATCAGAGTAATTGTTTGATATTGTGATGTGTGATTTTTTTTTACTTGTCCATTCGGAGAACTTAGATCTATATTCTTCTTGTCCGACAATTTATTTGTTGCTTTTCCTGGACAAGAGGACAAGTGTTAATGTCGAGCCCTGTGAGGATAAGTCTGTGAGGGTAGGTTCAGGACTCTTACCTTGGGGTGGGTGAGGGTTAATCTGTGTGAGTAGGTTCAGGACTCTTACCTTTGGGTGGGTGAGGGTTAATCTGTGTGGGTAGGTTCAGGACTCTTACCTTGGGGTGGGTGAGGGTTAATCTGTGTGGGTAGGTTCAGGACTCTTACCTTGGGGTGGGTGAGGGTTAATCTGTGTGGGTAGGTTCAGGACTCTTACCTTGGGGTGGGTGAGGGTTAATCTGTGTGGGTAGGTTCAGGACTCTTACCTTGGGGTGGGTGAGGGTTAATCGGTGTGGGTAGGTTCAGGACTCTTACCTTTGGGTGGGTGAGGGTGAGGCGGTGGCCCTTGTTGTGCTCCGGGCCCTCAGACAGAGCCCACGTAACAGCCTGCTCCTTGTCCTCCTCTGGGGGCTCGTAGGAGGTAATCAGCTGGTCTGTGGAGCTCACCACCAGCCTGTCTCCCAGAGCTGGGTTCAACAGCAGCACTGTCCTCTCACTGAGGGAGAGAGGGAGGGAGGGGGAGAGATAGGGAGAGAGAGACAGCGAGTCAGAGTGACACTGGACTACAGGAACCTACAGGGTTATCTAGAAGTTAGTTTGCTAAAGTCATGATAATGTCACGGCAGTCAAGCGGAAAAGTCCTCTCAAAGTTTGTTGACAGCGGCATCAGTAGTACCACATACTAACAATTATAAACGGGTTGCAGTGGTTATTGGTTAACCTCTGAAACTACACTATGAAATCATTCGGTCTGTCAACACATACAAAGTATACTCTATGTTCAGTGATGAAGACACAGAGGAGAACTCAGGACATAGGAAAGAATGGAGCACCCATTAGGTGGAAATAAACTGTATGAGGAGGAGACTTACAAGCACACAGCCACCAGGCAGACGGCCGGGTTGGGGTTCCACGCCACGCTCTTCACAGCTCCGCCCACCTCCAGCGTCTTCATGCATCGCCCCGTGTTGACCTCCCAGAAGCGCACCGTACAGTCGTCTGAGCCTGGAGGAAGAGAGGGGGGGGGTCAAAGGTCAGACCACCAGAGTCAACAGGGGGCCCATAACAGCAGTGTGTGTGTGTGTGTGTGTGCGTGACTGTGTGTGCCCTGGCAGCAAGTGTGGTCTCCGGACGCCAGGCCTCGTTGCGTTGCCACAGTGTGAAAGTGTTAAAAGTAGCCCATAAATAAACTGGGAGAGCTCAGAGCTAGCAGGCTGACGAACCTATATGAGAGGGGATCACAAACTAATGGCACAGGGGTAGAGGGGGATTGGGCCTGGTTTGTGTCACTGCTTTGACAGGGGTTAGTTAATGGGAGACTGTATGTGCGTCCCAAATGGCATCCTATTCCATACTGTGTACGTAGTGCCCTACTTCTGGCTAAAGTAGTGCCCTATATAGAGAATAGGGTGCCATTTGGGACGCATCCTGTGTTGATTAATAATAATGCGATACACAGTAATAGTGGGAAAAGTTCAGATATTACCTCAGGGTAATGTAGCTCATCTTTATATAGCAAAAATAGAACGTACGCCTCTTCAATACATTATCAATTAACTGTGTGTGTGTGTGTTTGTCTGTAAAGCTGTATGTTCGTGGTTTACATGCGTTCAAAAGTTATCTGTGTGTGTGTATAATACACATGATAAGCAGCCAGACAGATTTCCTGGGCTGCCTGCTGCTCATCAGCTGAGTGAAAACAGACGTTCTTCCTGAATGCAGCTCTCTCTGCCTCTGCCTCTCTCTCTCCGCCCCTCTCTCTCCGCCCCTCTCTCTCCGCCCCTCTCTCTCCGCCCCTCTCTCTCCGCCCCTCTCTCTGCCCCTCTCTCTGCCTCTCTCTCTGCCTCTCTCTCCCTCTTTCTCCCTCTCTCTGCCTCTCCTCTCCAACTGCCTGTGAAACCACCGCCGCTGCCTGACACAGTGACACATCATTGGCCGATCTGGACACACTAAGGCTGTGCTCCAATTCCCTACATCGTACGACCCTATGGGCTGCTCTGGTCAAAGGTAGTGCACTATGTAGGGAATAGAGTGCCATTTAGGATGCATCCTAACTAACTAATGCCTTCTGGGAGTGTGTGCAGTGTCACTGGAGAGCACTGCCAAAGAATAATTTGCATTCAGGTTGACATGTTTTTTCTTTGCCATAATGTGTCCACTAGCCATGGAGCGGTCTTATTTCTAATAGACCTTTCTAGAGTCTTTGGCAACCTCCTGTCTTGGTCTGCTTTTGCTGTTTGGTTTGCCATCACACTTCTATCAGGAGCCAACGGAGCACTGACACTTCTAATACACCTTTTCTTTTGGACAATACTTTTGGCATGAATGTTGTCTCCCTTTTCCTGTTAGGGGGTTTGTTTGAGAAAGAAAGAGTGAAAGAAAGAGAGGTCCCAATCAGAACCACATCTCTCCTTACTGCTGGCACGCAATAAGGAAAACTGGGAACCCACAGGCACTACGCAAACCAACCACCTTGGATTACAGAACTATCGACGCTATGCTGCTCCAACGTAAGAGCGGGAGGCAGTAGTAGTAAAAATGTTACTTTTATACCTGCATGCTCCATAAAACGCAAAGAAAACAACTGGGGGGAAAAAGCGTCTCCAGACCAGAGGGTGGAGTGTAATAACTCGAAAAACCATAATCACTTTTTAAGTATTGAGCCCTGCGGCAGCGACGGATATAGAACTGGAGGGACAGGCCCGACCCGGCCGTGAGTATTGAGCCCTGCGGCAGCGACGGATATAGAACTGGAGGGACAGGCCCGACCCGGCCGTGAGGTTGTGTCCAGCTGGCGGTTTAGAGAGAGAGAGAGAGAGAGCGCGAGACCAGTCCGTCTGGCAGCACATAGCTGTGGTCCGGCTGTGAACAGACGGCCGGTGAATTGGCCAAAGGGTCGAGTGAGTCGCATGCGGACACATTGGAAACACTTTTGAGGAGAGGGAGAGGTCTAGGGCTTGTTTGAGGAGAGGGAGAGGTCTGGGGCTTGTTTGAGGAGAGAGAGAGGTCTGGGGCTTGTTTGAGGAGAGGGAGAGGTCTGGGGCTTGTTTGAGGAGAGGGAGAGGTCTGGGGCTTGTTTGAGGAGAGGGAGAGGTCTGGGGCTTGTTTGAGGAGAGGTCTGGGGCTTGTTTGAGGAGAGGGAGAGGTCTAGGGCTTGTTTGAGGAGAGGGAGAGGGCTTGTTTGAGGAGAGGGAGAGGTCTGGGGCTGTAAAACTGGGTTAACAGCTCTCCTCATCTTCCCTTTCTATTGAGGGGACTTGCTTAATTCTAGGTCAATGTCAATGGTTTACTCTGAAATACACTGGGGCAGATCCAGGAGTTTGGAGTGTGCTTACTCGCCTACTTGAGAATACGACAAGCAGATTTTTTGGGGGGGTCTGGACATCAATCTGACATAAATACAAGGCTGTGTCACTGGACAGGATAAGAACATTTAGCAAAATTATAGAATAAAACTGAAAGGGACGCGTGGTTTGTAACTTCAGAGTTCAGAGTTCAAGGCTCAGTGGACGAGTGCAAACCACAACGTAAGTCAACAGACAGGAGCAGCGCTATTGGTCAGCACGATCAAATGAGGCTCCAGGGGGACAGACTGACGGACTGAGGACTTTCTAGGGCACCTTGGTTTGAAAGCCATGTAAGCAACAGCATTATTATTCTCCTGCCAAGAACCAATATGCCCGATTTTTTACAGGGTCGTTAGCATTAGGGTTGTCAGACATTTTCTTTGCCCAAACCTCAAATTCTAGACCTCAGATTAAAACTAGGCTACAGTGTCCACAAGGTGACCATTAGACTCATTTGGCCTGAATATGTTTGAATACTGCTGACCTGGACACTTGTGTGCAATCAGAGCACAAACAACTAAGCTAGCGAACGTCCTTGGCTGCCATTATAGCCAGTTGGATACACCAAACTTTGGGAACTTTGGGAAAACTGCCATGATTTATAATACATGCACACACGCTGTTAGAAGATCCATTAAGATCCATTGATTCAGTACGCTCCCTACTATGTCAATGACATTTTCTTCTTGTCATTATACTCCAAATTTGCAATGACTTACAAACACAGTGTCAAGTTACTTTTCAATGAGTTCCCTGAAAACCTGAAGTCGCTATCCACAAGTAAAAAGTAGCAGGGGTGCGGTTTGCAAACGAAGCATCCAGGTAAAACAACAATGTGTCTCCTGACCCCCCCTGACTCAGCCTCCAGTATCTATGCTGCAGTAGTCTATGTGCCGGGGGGCTAGGGTCAGTCTGTTATATCTGGTGTTATTCTCCTGTCTTATCTGGTGTCCTGTGTGAATTTAAGTATGCTCCCTCTAATCCTCTCTCTCTCCCTTCCCTCCCGGAAGACCTGAGCCCTAGGACCATGCCTCAGGACTACCTGGCCTGATGACTCCTTGCTGTCCCCAGTCCACCTGGTCGTGCTGCTGCTCCAGTTTCCACTCTTCTGCCTGCGGCTATGGAACCCTGACCTGTTCACCAGACGTGCTACCTTGTCCCAGACCTGCTGTTTTCAACTCTCTCTCTCTACCGCACCTGCTATTTCAACCTCTAAATGCCTGGCTATGAAAAGCCAAGTGACATTTACTCCTGATGTACTGACCTGTTGCAACCTCTACAACCACTGTGATTATTATTTGACCCGGCTGGTCAACTATGAATGTTTGAACATCTTGGAGAAAAATCTGGCCTTAATGGCCATGCACTGTTATAATCTCCACCCGGCACAGCCAGAAGGGGACTGGCCACCCCTCAGAGCCTGGTTCCTCGCTAGGTTTCTGCCTTTCTAGGGAGTATTTCCAAGCCACACGTTCAATCAGTACTGAATGAACAAAAACATTTCGGAACATTCCGGACTGTCCATTTAAATAGTGTCAAGTTGAGGTATCTATAACAGGGTTTGTAGCGTAACGGTTAGCGTCACCGCCCTGGAATTTGAAGGACATGGGTTCGTTGACCTGGCTATTTTGATCATTTTCTTTAGTGTATAGTTTTTGACCCCATTTTGACCCCCCCATTTCCCCTTTCCCGACACTCACAGGCGCGCACACGCAAATTGAAAACAAATAATGCATGCACGGTCTGCGCTTATTTTAATTTATTGAATTTAGGTGTCTCTTAAAAAAGTGTGATGTTTACTAGTACGCGCGTCTTTGCTACAACAGAACAGTGGAGAAACCAGCTCTCAAACGCTCAAGGAAGACGTTGTTGCCCTCATCCGTCAGATGCACGCCATCCCTACGGTACAAATGCACGCGATAAGTTGCACAGGCTGTAAACATTTCTCCTTTTCAGGCGCCACTTTCTGTCATTTGAGAAGCTAAGGAATGTGTCAAGTTGGCCCACGTGGAGCTGACAAAGGACTTAAGCGTATTCATATGGACACAATACATTGCACACTATCAGTATGTATGTTCTGTTCCAAATCTGTGAGTACTCCCATCTGTTTTCATATTTGTACTGCCATTTATAAATCTGTGAATTTGTGCTCTTTTACTGGAGTTGGACAGCTTGGGAAAGGGGGATACCTAGTCAGTTGAACAACTGAATGCATTCAACTGAAATATGTCTTCCGCATTTAACCCCTCTGAATCAGAGAGGTGCGGGGGGCTGCCTTAATCGACACCCACGTCTTCGGCGCCCGGGGAACAGTGGGTTAACTGCCTTGCTCAGGGGCAGAACGACAGATTTTTACCTTGTCAGCTTGGGGATTTGATCCAGCAACCTTTCAGTTACTGGTCCAACGCTCCTACCCACCAGGCTACCTGCCGCCGTGTACAGCATTCCTAAGAACTTTTGTAGATAAAGGATTTAGAACACCTATCCAATGTCAGGTTTGTAAATATGTATTCTTCAAAGTGTTTTGTACTTGTCTAATGACTTTGTATTTTACAGGTGTTTGTCATGTCACTGTGTGTCAGGAGTTACCAAAACTCTATTGATGAGCCACAGGGATATGCAGGCTTTTTTGTTCAACCCCAGAACTACCACACTTGATTCTACTATTCAGCTGTTCATTAAGTCCTCAGCTGTTAAGACCTTGAATAGTAGAATCTGGTGTGGTTGAACTGGGCTTGAACAAGAAAGCCTGCATAACCCTGTAGCTCTTCAAGAGCAATTGTGGCCATCCCTGAATTGTAAATTGTATGTTTTGTAAAAACTCAATTGTTTACAGGTAATGTAGTATAGTGCCTTGCAAAAGTATTCATCCCCCTTGGCGTTTTTCCTATTTTGTTACATTACAACCTGTAATTTCAATGGATTTTTATTTTTATTTCATGTAATGGACATACACAAAATAGTCCAAATTGGTGAAGTGAAATGAAAAAAAGAACTTGTTTCAAAACATTCTAACAAATAAATAACGGAAAAGTGGTGCATGCATATGTATTCACCCCGTTTGCTAAGAAGACCCTAAATAAGACATGGTGCAACCAATTACCTTCAGAAGTCATATAATTAATAAAATAAAGTCCACCTGTGTGCAATCTAAGTGTCACATGACAAGTGTCAGGGACAAAGTTGTGGAGAAGTACAGATCAGGGTTGGGTTATAAAAAAATATCAGAAGCTTTCAACATCCCACGGAGCACCATTAAATCCATTATAAAAAAATGGAAAGAATATGGCACCACAACAAACCTGCCAAGAGAGGGCCGCCCACCAAAACTCACAGATCAGGCAGGGAAGGCATTAATCAGAGATGCAACAAAGAGACCAAAGATAACCCTGAAGGAGCTGCAAAGCTCCACAGCGGAGATTGGAGTTTCTGTCCATAGGACCACATTAAGCCATACACGCCACAGAGCTGGGCTTTATGAAGAGTGGGCAGAAAAAAGCAATTGCTTAAAGAAAAAAATAAGCAGAAACATTTGGTGTTCGCTTAAAGGCATGTGGGAGACTCCCCAAACATATGGAAGAATGTACTCTGGTCAGATGAGACTAAAATTGAGCTTTTTGGCCATCAAGGAAAACGCTATGTCTGGCGCAAACCCAACACCTCTCATCACCCCATGAACAACATCCCCACAGTGAAGCATGGTGGTGGCAGCATCATGCTGTGGGGATGTTTTTCATCGGCAGGGAACGGGAAACTGGTCAGAATTGAAGGAATGATGGATGGTGCTAAATACAGGGAAATGATTGAGGGAAACCTGTTTCAGTCTTCCAGAGATTTGAGACTGGGACGGAGTTTCACCTTCCAGCAGGACAATGACCCTTAGCATACTGCTAAAGCAACACTTGAGTGGTTTAAGGGGAAACATTTAAATGTCTTGGAATGGCCTAGTCAAAGCCCAGACCTCAATCCAATTGAGAATCTGTGGTATGACTTAAAGATTGCTGTACACCAGCGGAACCCATCCAACTTGAAGGAGCTGGAGCAGTTTCGCCTTGAAGAATGGGCAGAAATCCCAGTGGCTAGATGTGCCAAGCTTATAGAGACATACCCCAAGAGACTTGCAGCTGTAATTGCTGCAAAAGGTGGATCTACAAAGTATTGACTGGGGGGGGGGGGTGAATAGTTATGCACGCTCAAGTTCTGTTATTTTGTCCTATTTATTGTTTGTTTCAAATGTTTGTTTTTTAAAGCAATTTCTGCAGTTTTAAAGAGAATTTCCTGCAGTTCTATGCATTTTGTCATGGCTAATGCTGTGTTCTTTTGCTCAAACTTAATAACAAAATCAATACTGTTAAATTCATTGTTTATGGAATTTTCAATTCCCCTGACTGTTTAGCTTTTATTTAGGTGATTCTTAGTTCTTAAATAATATATTATAAAACAATATATAGGTCCATTATCTTCTCTACATACTTCATATTTGGTTTAAGTCTTAAGTTTACACTGAAAGCGTTTTTCCATCCAGAAAATTGATTTCTAAAAAATGTGGGATTTGGTGGCCGGCCCAATGGTTTCTATGGCAGACAAATCCTTGGTATAATCACCTTCCAGTGTAAAAACCATGGAAATAAAAACAAAAAAACTATGTTTTAAGTGAGAAGTTGGTATTGGTCTGAAGTTTACATGAGAACCACAATGCATACTTCAACCATGCTCTACAAATGTTTTCAAAGGCACAGCTCTGACGATTACAGTAGCTATGTTGGTCTATTGTACTTCCAACAATGTGTAGACAGGTTGCTTAGGATTTAAACCTTTACAAAACAGCTTATGTCAATATAGATACACTTTTACCCTCAGAATAGCCTCAGTTCGTCGGGGCATGGACCCTACAAGGTGTCGAAAGTATTTGACAGGAATGCTGGCCCATGTTGACTCCAATGCTTCCCAAAGTTGCGCCTGGCACCTACTACCATACCCCGTTCAAAGGCACTTAAATATTTTGTCTTGCCCAATCACCCTCTGAATGGCACACATACACAATCCTTCTTTAACCTGTCTCTCCCCCTTTATCTACACTGATTGAAGTGGATTTAACAAGTCACATCAATAAAGGATCATGGCTTTCACCAGGATTCACCTGGTCAGTCTATGCAAAAATTATTTTTGACGAATACACTGAAACGGTGACTGAGTTTATCAGGAAGTGTATAGGAAATGCTGTGCCCACTGTGACTATTAAAACCTACCCTAACCAGAAACCGTGGATAGATGGCAGCATTCGCGCAAAACTGAAAGTGCGAACCACCGCATTCAACCATGGCAAGGTGACTGGGAATATGGCAGAATACAAACAGTGTAGCTATTCACTCCGCAAGGCAATTAAACTGGCAAAACATCAGTATAGAGACAAAGTGGAGTCGGCATTCAACGGCTCGGACACGAGACTTATGTGGCAGGGTCTACGGACAATCATGGACTACAAAAGGAAAACCAGCCACGTCGCGGACACTGATGTCTTGTTTCCGGACAAGCTAAACACTTTCTTCGCCCGCTTTGAGGATAACACAGTGCCACTGACGCAGCCCGCTACCAAGGACTGTGGGCTCTCCTTCCCTATGGCCGACGTGAGTAAGACATTTAAGCGTGTTAACCCTCGCAAGGCTGCCGGCCCAGACGGCATCCCTAGCCGCGTCCTCAGAGCACGCGCAGACCAGCTGGCTGGTGTGTTTCCGGACATATTCAATCTCTCCCTATCCCAGTCTGCTGTCCCCACATGCTTCAAGATGGCCACCATTGTTCCTGTACCCAAGAAAGCAACGGTAACTGAACTAAATGACTATCGCCCCGAAGCACTCACCTCTGTCATCATGAAGTGCTTTGAGAGAGACTAGCCAAGGATAATATCACCTCTACCTTACCTGCCACCCTAGACCCACTTCAATTTGCTTACCGCCCCCAATAGATCCACAGACGATGCAATCGCCATCACACTGCACACTGCCCTATTCCATCTGGACAAGAGGAATACCTACGTAAGAATGCTGTTCATTGACTATAGCTCAGCATTCAACACCATAGTACCCTCCAAGCTCATCATTAAGCTCGAGACCCTGGGTCTGAACCCCGCCCTGTGCACCTGGGTCCTGGACTTCCTGACGGGCCGCCCCCAGGTGGTGAAGGTAGGAAACAACACCTCCACTTCGCTGATCCTCAACACTGGCGCCCCACAAGGGTGCGTGCTCAGCCCCCTCCTGTACTCCCTGTTCACCCATGACTGCGTGGCCCAGCATGCCTCCCAACTCAATCATCAAGTTTGCAGACGACACAACAGTAGTAGGCTTGATTACCAACAACGGAGAGACAGCCTATATGGAGGAGGTGAGGGCTCTGGGAGTGTGGTGTCAGGAAAATATTATTTCACTCAACATCAACAAAACAAAGGAGATGATCGTGGACTTCAGGAAACAGCAGAGAGTGCACTCCCCTATCCACATCGACAGCACCGCAGTGGAGAAGCTTCAACTTCTTTGGCGTACACATCACTGACAAACTGAAATGGTCCACCCACACAGACAGTGTGGTGAAGAAGGCGCAACAGAGCCTCTTCAACCTCAGGAGGCTGAAGAAATTTGGCTTGGCACCTAAAACCCTCACTAACTTTTACAGATGCACAATTGAGAGCATCCTGTCAGGCTGTATCACTGCCTGGTATGGCAACTGTACCGCCCGCAACCGCAGGGCTCTCCAGAGGGGGGGGTCGGTCTGCCCAATGCATTACCGGGGGCAAACTACCCGCCCTCCAGGACACCTACAGCACCTGATGTCACAGGAAGGCCAAAAAGATCATCAAGGACATCAACCACCCGAGCCACTGCCTGTTCAACCCACTATCATCCAGAAGGCGAGGTCAGTACAGGTGCATCAAAGCTGGGACCGAGAGACTGAAAAACAGCTTCTATCTCAAGGCCATCAGACTGTTAAATATCCATCACTAGCACATTAGAGGCTGCTGCCTATAGACATCACTGGCCACTTTAAGAAATGGAACACTAGTCACTTTAATAATGTTCACATATCTTGCATTACTCATCTCATATGTATATACTGTATTCTATACTGTTCTACTGTATCTTAGTCCATGCCGCTCTGTCATTGCTCGTCCATATATGTATATATTCTTAATTCAATTCCTAACTTAGATGTGTGTATTGGGTATATGTTGTGAAATTGTTAGATATTAGTTGTTAGATATTACTGTACTGTCGGAGCTAGAAGCACAAGAATTTCACTACACCCACAATAACATATGCTAAACACATGTATGTGACCAATAACATTTGATTTCCTTTGAATTTGTTCTTAATGTTTTGTACACTCAGTGACAAGGACCCTCACAAAAACAGTCAACTAACTCTCACAAAAACATGACAATCAGTTAGTTTACGGTAGCATCTTGGTAGTGGTGCCACTGGTGGGTGTTATTGCACTTTGGTTCACAGGGCTGTGTTCTTCCTGTTGTGACCTCACAGAGGCCTCTGTCCCTGGGCTGCCCGCCTGGGACAGACCCCTCACATCTCCACACAAACAGCCCAGATAATTTGCAGTTGTGTTCCAAAGCAACACTTGTGTGTTCTTTTACAAGAATGACTAGCTATATTCAGCTGGGTTTGATGTTGTGGAAAGGAGCGAGAGAGAAGGGGACCAGCTAGGGGAGTTAACCTAACCTTAGAGTGTCTATAATGTCACAGGTCCTTCAGAACAAAGTTTGAGGGGCCACCTCTGGCCCAACCAGATGTGGTTGGTAAAAGGGGGGCTACATTTCTAAAGAGACAACCCTGTTCCATACATAGGATTCCGTACTTTCATCCATAAAAAGCCGGTGACATTCTAATCCCAACCCGGACGGCGTGTGAAGGGAGGCATTCCGTCCTTCCCGGTCCTAACCACCAGGGAAGGGTTGAAAGGTTGAGTGTTCAGCCCTATCCAGAGTTCAGAGGGAACGTCACCCGCAGGGCTGGAGCTGGAGGAGCTGCCGCCGCACCACGTTACCCATTGTGGCCACATCATTAGTAGGGAATGTGGAGCCGGGAACATCGTAACCCCAGTTTGTTTACTGCTGGGAGTGTGGGTGTGAATATACTGTACACAGAGTCAAGCCCGAGTCCAACCCAGGACGATCAGTACAATGTTCCATGTCTGTGTCTCAAATGGCACCCTGTTCCCTACATCAGTGTTTCCCGACCCCGGTCCTCCAGTACCCCCAACAGTGCACAGTTTCGTTGTAGCCCTTGACAAACGCACCTCATTCAACTCATTGAGAGCTTGATAATTAGTTGACAAGTAGAATCAGGTGTGCTATTTTTTTAAAAAGTGTACTGTTGGGGGTACTGGAGTACCAGGGTTGGGAAACACTGCCCTACATAGTGCACTACTTTTGACCAGAGCCCTGTGGTTGTCCCTATGGGCCCTGGTAAAAAGTAGTGCACTATAAAGGGAATAGGGTTCCATTTGGGACACAGCCTATAACGGATGTAAGAGGTATGGAATGCCTCTATGCAACATTTAAAAAATGAGCATAATTATGAAGTCTATAAAACTCATTCCAGTCCTGAGAGAAGAGAGCATGCTTGGTGTGGGGTAGGTCATCGTCATGTTTTACAGTTTTGGAGACGTCTCCAGAAGAATGTATGACACAACCGACAAATGATTTCACAGCATTACCTTGGTTTCCTGTTACAAGTCTTTTTTAACATGGGGACATTGTCTGGCTGTGTTTTTACTGCTGTTGGCCTTGGTAGCTTCTTCGTAATAATATTTTCCAACTTTAGTATGGTTGAGTTAGTGAGCAGTGAGTACAGGCTTGGTGTGGGTGGGGTTGGCGTTAGCCCCCTGCGATAGCTAGCACTACCCCAGTCCAGACAGCCCCCTATTTAGAGACAGAGTGGGTCAAAGTAACAGTCATCATTAAAAAGCACCACACACTGATATGGAATGAATTATCTGTCAACCCTCACACAATAGGAAAACAAATTGAAGAAGGGGGGGTGAGGGAAGGTGAGGGCGGTATGGGGCGGGGGCTGCAATTCCTGGGAGGTTGTCAACTGCCATTTTTACTGTGGGAAAGAGGGTTTTACGACTGGTTTAATATATTTTACAGCAATTCAAAAGAGTGGCGCTGACTGTAGTGGTTTTGCATATGGGCCTTTATGAAATCCTTTGTTATGGACGGCTCAACAGATATTGCCACTAAATTGCTGCCAGGCAGCCTCGCTCACTCACTCACTCTATCCTTCCTTCCTTCACCTCCCTCTCCTGTCTTTCTCTGACTAGCCCACGTGTCACCTCTCTCTCACTCACTCCCTACCTCCCTCCCTTTGAGGGCCTGGTACTAGTGTGAATGGAAACTTAATCAAAACGTGTGTAATTGCCACCATTTTGTAGTTGTCCCTGTAGGCTACTGCCCAGCCTGTCCAGTGTTGATATTAAACTGCCGACCATACAGTAAAATATCCCTACAGTATGACTATGGCTTGGGGAATAGAGATTTCCATGGCTGTCATAGAAGAGTAAGGCCAGGGAATAAAGACTAAATAAGTGTTATTAAAAGTTATTAAATTGACATGTATACTGTACAGAAATATAAACACAACGTGTAAAGTGTTGGTCCCATGTTTCATGAGCTGAAATAAAAGATCACAGAAATTTGACATACGCACAAAAAAGCTTCTTTCTCTCAAATTTTGTACACACATTTGTTTACATCCCTGTTAGTGAGCATTTCTCCTTCGCCAAGATAATGCATCCACCTGACAGGTGTAGCATATCAAGAAGCTGATTAAACAGCATGATCATTACACAGGTACACCTTGTGCTGGGGACAATTAAAAAAACACTCTAAAATGTGCAGTTTTGTCACACAACACAATGCCACAGATGTCTCAAGTTTTGAGGGAGCATGCAATTTGCATGCTGACTGCAGGATTGTCCACCAGAGCTGTTGCCAGAGTATTTAATGTTAATTTCTCTACCATAAGCCGCCTCCAACATTGTTTTAGAGAATTTGGGGCAGTACGTCAAACCGGACTCACAACCACAGACCACGTGTTTGGCGTTGTGTGGGCGAGTGGTTTGCTGATGTCAAGTGCCCCATGGTGGCGGTGGGGTTATGGTATGGGCAGGCATAAGCTAAGGACAACGAACACAATTGCATTTTATCTATGGTAATTTGAATGCACAGAAATACCGTGACGAGATCCTGAGGCCCATTGTCGTGCCATTCATCCGCCGCCATCACCTCATGTTTCAGCATGATAATGCACGGCCCCATGTCGCAAGGATCTGTACACAATTCCGGGAAGCTGAAAATGTCCCAGTTCTTCCATGGCCTGCATACTCACCAGACATGTCATCCATTGAGCACGTTTGGGATGCTCTGGATTGGTGTGTACGCCAGCGTGTTCCAGTTCCCAACAGTATACAGCAACTTCACACAGCCATTGAAGAGGAGAGGGACAACAGTCCACAGGCCACAATCAACAGCCTGATCAACTCTATGCATAGATGTGTCACGCTGCATGAGGCTAATTTAAATTAACTGATTTCCTTATATGAACTGTAAATCAGTAAAATCTTTGAAATTTTTGTGTTTATATTTTTGTTCAGTGTATTTCATAATTTTACATTATTCTCAATACGTCCTGAACTTTTCATACTGTACAGTTACTACAATACTAGCAATAATCCCACCTCTTCAGACCAGATTCTCTAGTCAGCCATACCTCATGACTGTGGAAAGACAAAGCCACCTTCGTTTTATATGGCTAGGGCCCTTACTTCATATCTGACAGTGTCCCCCAGGCACAGACCATATTAAACTGAGGGAAACTAGCCAACACTGAGTGAGCAATCTACAGTCCCTCCTTCCCTCACCTCCATGTTATTAAATTCACATCCATGTCTATCAAGTCTTACTTTGAATCGTACACGTCATTTTCCTGGTAAGAATCTGTAGTCAACGTGTATAATTACTTCTAATGGCTACCCTTCATCGCCGAAAGGAGAACCATTAGGGATGACTTTTCTACATCAGGTATTTTTTATTTATTTTACATAAGACTGTAAAAACACCAGGAAATCAGCTGTAAGTGATTTTAATTTAAGAAAACTTCCCACGGATAATAGAGACGTGATCGTATACAAACTTAACCAAGGTTTGAGAAATGATTATGTTTTAGTCAAATATTATATCCGTTTGGGCTTCTTGCGATCAATTTGCAGTCTACAAATTATTAGTAATTATGTTCAAACCCCCCCCGACCATCTGCTCAAGAAAGAAATCGTCCCGCAGCTGAATCTAGATGATGATCCCTGTTCTACATAGTACTAACATTAACAACCCAAGGAAAGCCTACTGTTCTCTGACTGACCGCGGAGAACAGCCAGCTAGCCAGAAGCTATAAAAAGACAATGACTATTTAAGTCTAAGATGGATGAGGGGAAAATGAGACAGGCTAGGAAGCTATCTGTGATTGATTTATCCTCCTAGATGTGTGCCAGGCAGTAAGTATGGCCGCCTAGCTGCATAGCCTACATTTCTCCTGGTCTGTAGACGCTGGTTTCTCTCTAGCCTCTTGCTGACGTTCCAGCGCCCCAGTATGGGTCACTGATCTCACGGTGCACATCTCAGCACTGCCTGGGGCACACAGCCATCATGGCACTGCCTGGGGAACACAGCCATACATGACACTGCCTGGGGAACACAGCCATACATGACACTGCCTGGGGCACACAGCCATACATGAGACTGCCTGGGGAACACAGCCATACATGACACTGCCTGGGGCACACAGCCATACATGACACTGCCTGGGGAACACAGCCATACATGACACTGCCTGGGGAACACAGCCATACATGACACTGCCTGGGGAACACAGCCATACATGACATCATGGCTCACGCTTTCGGGATGATTTAAGAAGTCAGTTATAGCTACTGACTCAGAAACAGGCAAACTGAATTAACACATTGCCAGGGAGACAGTTTGATACTGACTCAAACAGGCAAACTGAATTAACACATTGCCAGGGAGACAGTTTGATACTGACTCAAACAGGCAAACTGAATTAACACATTGCCAGGGAGACAGTTTGATACTGACTCAAACAGGCAAACTGAATTAACACATTGCCAGGGAGACAGTTTGATACTGACTAAGAAAAAGGCAAACTGATGAGCTAGCCAAACAGCAGCAGAGTCAGAGGTTTTACCGCATCGCATTAAAGGTGAATAGGGACTTAACACTGACCTGAGACCAGCCATTGGCCAGTGGGAGACGCACTGATGGAACGCACCAGACTGGTGTGGCCACGGTACACCTGTTAAGAGGATATATCATTAGGGTCATGATTGGTACTAACTTAATTTTCTTATTTTAGGATCATCACCCCATCTAGGGCCCTGTGTTTTACACAATCACGTGACATAGCAAGATTTTATAACAATACATGGACCTCTTCCACTTCAGGTAACTAGCAGCTAGCAGCAGTAAAATCAGATTTAAAAAACATAAAACACCTCACAAAGAGGACTGTGAAGACACACACACTATTCTTAGTAATGTAGTATTGTAACAGTGTAATGTAATAATGGAGTAATGTACATTTGTATAATGCACAATGTTTTGTTTGATGTAATGTTGTATCTCTGTTTGGACCCCAGGAAGAGTAGCTGCGGCCTTGGCAACAGCTAATGGGGATTCTAATAAAATACTAAATGATCCTGTATTTTAAGGCTTATCCAGAAATGACAATTAGACCAAACATGTAAGCAATTGTTTGAGGATGGTGCTGGACCATCTGAAAAGAGAAGGGAACAAGTTGATGAAAAAGCTTTAAACAAAAAGGTTAAAATCCAGGCATGTCACATGATTGTGCAAAATACAGGTCCTTACAATGAGGTGCATTTCCAATAGAATATTCACAGCAGTTCCAGTGGTTGACCTACCAGGGACATGGTGGTGGGGAAGGGTTGCAGGTCCTTGGGTTTGGGCAGCTTGGGGATCAGATCTTCTGGATTCACATTCACCTGTGGAGACCATGTGAGATGAAAGGAAAGGTAAAGGGGGATACCTGGTCAGTTGTACAACTGAATGCATTCAACTGAAATGGTCTTCCACATTTAACCCCACCCCTCTGAACAGTGTTGAGGAACGAGTTGAGAACCACCCAACTGAAATAGAGGGGTCCTTCAAAATGAGCTGTACTTTTCTTTATGAGCATCTTCAAATCAATGTACTATTTATCTAGACATTCAGGCAGGGTCTGTAGTCTCACCCTCATCTTGCGCTGGCGGGGGCACAGGTAGAGGTCGAGGCAGCGTTCAAAGCGCTCGTGGATGAAGCGGGAGAAGGCGGGCACGGCCCTCAGACAGGAGTGTTTCTGGGGGAGGAACGGGAGCTTCCTGTCCTCTGCATCCTGCTGCTCCCAAGCCAGTCTCTGACAGGGGGAGGAAGAACCAATGGTGGGTGAGTATACTGATGGCTGGTTTATATACTGATGAATGATTGGTCGGTATAATGATGACCGGTTGGTATACTGGTTAATGATTGGTCTGTATACTAATGACTGGTTTGTATCCTGGTTAATGATTGGTCTGTATACTAATGACTGGTTTGTATACTGGTTAATGATTGGTCTGTATACTAATGACTGGTTTGTATACTGGTTAATGATTGGTCTGTATACTAATGACTGGTTTGTATACTGGTTAATGATTGGTCTGTATACTAATGACTGGTTTGTATACTGGTTAATGATTGGTCTGTATACTATTGACTATAGTTACAAGGAGGGAACTCGGGACCAAAACGCTCCAGTTGTTCTATGCTACCAATTGATCTGCTACTGTACAATTTTTGCCAATTACTAAGAGAATTTTGAGGTAAATTCTGATGTTGCAAAAAAATATTTCTGTCCAAGTATGTGTGTGCAGACAAGAACAGCACGTAATGCACTCCAACAAAGACTTTTATAATTATGCATAATAAATTGTGTGATGAATGAACTATTTACCTCTTCCTCTGTGAGCAGGTATTCAGGCGGGGGGTTGTAGGACTCCTCGTGTCCAGGCAGCCTCATCTTGGGGGCGGGGACGTGCATCTTGTGGCGCCCCAGGATGGCGTTGGGGTCCTCCTTGGCCCACAGGTCGTAGTACTGAGGGGTGGTCTCTTTGGGTTTACGGGGCTTGATCCAACCCATCTTTATGGCATGGACCAGCTTTGAAACCTGGGAGAGAGAGAGACAGGCCAACAGTAGTGGTGAAACTAAAGTGCGTGTGTGTGTTTGCACAAATAATAATGTCCAAAAATGTAATTGCACAGCATTAAAAATGGGGAGAATGTGCTCTGCTTCGTTTAATATAAAAAACGAACTTGATCAATGAGTGGAATAAAACCAAACCGACATTAATAGAAGGTACCGGTGGGTTAATAAAGCTACGGTTTATAATGCAAGCAGGGAGGGGGGAGGGGGGGGGGGGGTTCTCTAATGGTATTGGTGGGTTAATAAAGTGGGCAGGGAGGGGGGGTCTAATGGTATTGGGGGGTTAATAAAGTGGGCAGGGAGGGGGGGTCTAATGGTATTGGTGGGTTAATAAAGTGGGCAGGGAGGGGGGTCTAATGGTATTGGTGGGTTAATAAAGTGGGCAGGGAGGGGGGGTCTAATGGTATTGGTGGGTTAATAAAGTGGGCAGGGAGGGGGGTCTAATGGTATTGGTGGGTTAATAAAGTAGGCAGGGAGGGGGGTCTAATGGTATTGGTGGGTTAATAAAGTGGGCAGGGAGGGGGGTCTAATGGTATTGGTGGGTTAATAAAGTAGGCAGGGAGGGGGGTCTAATGGTATTGGTGGGTTAATAAAGTGGGCAGGGAGGGGGGGTCTAATGGTATTGGTGGGTTAATAAAGTGGGCAGGGAGGGGGGGTCTAATGGTATTGGTGGGTTAATAAAGTGGGCAGGGAGGGGGGGGTCTAATGGTATTGGTGGGTTAATAAAGTGGGCAGGGAGGGGGGGTCTAATGGTATTGGTGGGTTAATAAAGTGGGCAGGGAGGGGGGGTCTAATGGTATTGGTGGGTTAATAAAGTGGGCAGGGAGGGGGGGTCTAATGGTATTGGTGGGTTAATAAAGTGGGCAGGGAGGGGGGGTCTAATGGTATTGGTGGGTTAATAAAGTGGGCAGGGAGGGGGGGTCTAATGGTATTGGTGGGTTAATAAAGTGGGGGGCAGGGTAGGGGCAGGGAGGGGGGTCTAATGGTATTGGTGGGGTTAATAAAGTGGGCAGGGAGGGGGGGTCTAATGGTATTGGTGGGTTAATAAAGTGGGCAGGGAGGGGGGGGTCTAATGGTATTGGTGGGTTAATAAAGTGGGCAGGGAGGGGGGTCTAATGGTATTGGTGGGTTAATAAGTGGGCAGGAGGGGGGGTCTAATGGTATTGGTGGGTTAATAAAGTGGGCAGGGAGGGGGGGGTCTAATGGTATTGGTGGGTTAATAAAGTGGGCAGGGAGGGGGGGTCTAATGGTATTGGTGGGTTTAATAAAGTGGGCAGGGAGGGGGTCTAATGGTATTGGGGGTTATAAAGTGGGCAGGGGAGGGGGGGTTCTAATGGTATTGGTGGGTTATAAAGTGGGCAGGGGAGGGGGGGGGCGGGGTCTTCTAATGGTATTGGTGGGTTAATAAAAGTTGAGGCATTGGGAGGTGGGGTCTAATGGGTATTGGTGGGTTTAATAAAGTGGGGGCAGGGAGGGGGGGTTAAATGGTATTGGTGGGTTAATAAAGTGGGCAGGGGATGGGGGGTCAATAATGGTATTGGGTGGGGTAATAAAGTGGGCAGGGAGTGGGAGGGGGGGGGGTCTAATGGGTATTTTTTTTTGGTGGGTTAATAAAGTGGGCAGGGAGGGGGGGGTCCTCTAATGGTATTGGTGGGTTAATAAAGTGGGCAGGGAGGGGGGGGGGGTCTAAGGTATTGGTGGGTTAATAAAGTGGGCGGGAGGGGGGGGGTCTAATGGTATTGGTGGTTAATTAAAGTGGGGGCAGGGAAGGGGGGGGGTCTAATGGTATTGGTGGGTTAATAAAGTGGGCAGGGAGGGGGGGTGGTTGGTGTCTAAGGGTATTGGTGGGTTGTTAATTGGGTTAATAAAGTGGGCAGGGAGGGGGGGTCTAATGGTATTGGTGGGTTAATAAAGTGGGCAGGGAGGGGGGGTCTAATGGTATTGGTGGGTTAATAAAGTGGGCAGGGAGGGGGGGTCTAATGGTATTGGTGGGTTAATAAAGTGGGCAGGGAGGGGGGGTCTAATGGTATTGGTGGGTTAATAAAGTGGGCAGGGAGGGGGGGGTCTAATGGTATTGGTGGGTTAATAAAGTGGGCAGGGAGGGGGGTCTAAAGGTATTGGTGGGTTAATAAAGTGGGCAGGGAGGGGGGTCTAATGGTATTGGTGGGTTAATAAAGTGGGCAGGGAGGGGGGTCTAATGGTATTGGTGGGTTAATAAAGTGGGCAGGGGAGGGGGGGGGTCTAATGGTATTGGTGGGTTAATAAAGTGGGCAGGGAGGGGGGTCTAATGGTATTGGTGGGTTAATAAAGTGGGCAGGGAGGGGGGTCTAATGGTATTGGTGGGTTAATAAAGTGGGCAGGGAGGGGGGGGTCTAATGGTATTTGGTGGGTTAATAAAGTGGGCAGGGAGGGGGGGTCTAATGGTATTGGTGGGTTAATAAAGTGGGGCAGGGAGGGGGGGTCTAATGGTATTGGTGGGTTAATAAAGTGGGCAGGGAGGGGGGGGGTCCTAATGGTATTGGTGGGTTAATAAAGTGGGCAGGGAGGGGGGGTCTAATGGTATTGGTGGGTTAATAAAGTGGGCAAGGAGGGGGGGGTCTAATGGTATTGGTGGGGTTCAATAACGTGGGGCAAGGGAGGGGGGGTCTAATGGTATATGGTGGGTAATAGAGTGGGCAGGGAGGGGGTCTAATGGTTTGGTGGGTTATAAAGTGGGGCAG